AGCTGGGAAGCAGTGTAGTAATTAGTAACAAAATGATAGCTAGTTGCATCCTATACAGTCCTTAATTATTATTATTATTATAAAATCTTAGAGATTAAGACTGAAATAGGGTCAGTAAACTCAAAGACACTATGGTTCAATGAAGTTCATTCAATGATAAGTGCAGGTTTTATTTTGTTTGACAGTAATTCAACACGTGAAGACATCTGATAATCTATCCAATTTTCTCATATTTACACAACACTATTTAAGTCTAAGACATTGTTAATAACCTATTTCACTCAACTAAACAATATATTCTATAAAAATGGCATTTTGATGTGGTTTTGTTCTCTGAGCTGGATGGTTAGTTTGCGAAGCTTTCATCACCTTACTGGGTGACATCTTCAGCGCATACTTCAATTTGAAGTGAGCTTTTAGATTTCTCCACGAGTTTATTAATCATCTCTCCTGGTGACCTTGGACGTAATTGGTTGTTTGTGTGTGTTTTCACACCTTCTAGGTTACTTGTATTGGAACTGGTTGTTTCTTTGACTTGAATTTTGACCCTTTGTCTGTGGAGTTTCTTTCTTATTGGTTGATAAATGTTGTCTATGTCGATGTGTCTATTGATTGATGATCCAATGGAATGCCAAGCTTCTAAAAATTCTCTAGCATTCTTGTTATTTCCTTTGTCTAATATTTGAACGTTGTCCCAGTCGAATTGATGTCCGTAGTTGTCTGTGTGTAGTGAAATGAGGGAGTGGATATCATGTCTTTTGACGGCTAGCTTATGTTCGTGGATACGAAGACGAAGGGGACGTCCACTTTGGCCGATGTAGTGTTTTTCGCAGTTGTTACAGTTTATTTTGTAGATGATGTTGGTTTTATCTTCTTTCGCTGTTGAGTCTTTTGGTTGACATAGAATTGAGTGAAGCGACTTTGTTGGTTTGTGTACGACGTCAACTCCTAAAGGTTTGAAGAGTCTTGTAGTGATTTCTGAGATATCTTTTATATATGGTAAGGCAATTTTCTTTGTGTTCTCCTTGGTGGCTTTTGCTTTGGTAGGTTGGCTTGGGGGTATATGTCTCTTGATGAAATTCCGTGGATATCCATTCTTTTGGAAGACGTCCATGAGATACTTTTCTTCAATTTTTCTTAAGGTGGGAGTGCTGCAGTGAGTCCTTGCCCTCTTGAATAGTGTTTGTATGCAATTCCTTTTGTGTGTTATTGGGTTGTTGCTGTTGTAATTCAGTATTTGGTCTGTGTGAGTTGATTTCCTATAAACTTGAATTTCTAATTCTCCTGTAGTTGTTCGCCTGACTAAGACGTCCAAAAATGGTATTTTGTTCTCGGATTCCTCTTCTCTTGTGAATTTGATGTCGTTGAAGACGTTGTTTATTAAGTTGTGAGTTTTATCTAATTCGTTTCTTTTGATGATTACAAATGTGTCGTCGACGTAGCGTATCCAAATCTTGGGTTTGATCTTTGGTAGAATTATATTTTCGAGTCTTTGCATCACTGCTTCTGCAATCAAACCTGATATTGGTGATCCCATGGGTGTTCCTTTGACTTGTTCATATATTTGGCCGTTGAATTGGAAGTATGTTGTTAGGCATAGATTTATGCATTCCATCCAGCTTGTGTGTTGCATTTTTGATTGTTGTGGCAGTTGTTCGTCGTTGCTAAGTAGTTGCTCCATGGTTTCTTTTGCTAGGTTTTGTCCGATGGATGTATATAATGCTATCACGTCGAATGACAGACAAAGGGTCAAAATTCAAGTCAAAGAAACAACCAGTTCCAATACAAGTAACCTAGAAGGTGTGAAAACACACACAAACAACCAATTACGTCCAAGGTCACCAGGAGAGATGATTAATAAACTCGTGGAGAAATCTAAAAGCTCACTTCAAATTGAAGTATGCGCTGAAGATGTCACCCAGTAAGGTGATGAAAGCTTCGCAAACTAACCATCCAGCTCAGAGAACAAAACCACATCAAAATCATCCACCTGAGCTACAAATCTCTCTATAATAAAAATGGCATTGCTTATTACTAAGTGTTAGATTGATGAAACGTAAAGATTCATTTTTGTTCGCATAAACCGTTAAACTAAGTACCTGATGGAAAGTGCGATCCATACAACAGAAATCTTAACAGCTAGGCTGCAAAAGATTGCAAGGAATATCGAAAAATCACTGGTTTTTAGCTCATTGATTGTAAAGTAACCAGCTTTTTAAGAGACCTGGATTTCGGCGGTGTACACAGGTTTTTTGTTCAGCGAAGAAATATCTCATTTCAACGACTTCACTTTGAAGCTGTACAGTCGTGTTTACATTATAGAAAGCGATATTAAGTGGCACTAGAAACTGCTCAGTCAGTATTGCACATATGATAAAAATAAAAATAATTAAATTGATGTACAAATGGGGGCACCGTAGATTTAAAGCGGATGAATTACAGAACCTTTACAGATTATTAAATAAGTGGACTGGCATGAAGATTTTAAAATTATAGATCAAGTGTTATCTGGAAAATTAAGAGTACAATGATGATGACAATAAAGAGGGCGAAGATATAGTGCAGTGTGGAATAAGTTGAATTGGTGAAATAAGATAAAATACAATAAAAGAACATTACTAAAATCAAGGTAAAGAAGGGGGTTTCACAAAACCTTTTTGAATACATAATTTCTGTCCATGTATAGATAGAGCTTTGGCTATGCATAAGTGGAGGAAAAGTTAGCTTTTTGAGTGATTGGATTCGGTCCTGTAGATAACTTGAAAGGATAAACCACGTGGATCTGAATGACGTGACTCCAGAAGGTCTTCACCGATTGAAGACTTTGTCGTCCTCTGCTCACCTATCATTAACCAAACCGAGTAGTGTTCAGCTACGCGTTTACGGCGTAGGTTGGATTCTGTTTTAGTCCATCATTCCTGTTCAGACAATTTGGATTCCACTTGATATGAAGTGTTTTTGATGAAGTGAGACGTTCTTTATGATATCGGAGGTTTTTCTGGATTATTTCAATATTGTCAAAATCAATTTTGTGGCCTGATTCTATAGTATGTAGGCAGGCTATGGCTGGCGATTTTTCAAGCTTTTGTAGTTCAACCAGATTTCTCGGTGATCAAACAGATACTCCGGGTGTTCATTTCTTCTGATTTTGATTTCCCGAGATGTTTGTCCGATGTAGATCGCATCACATTCCAAGCATTTTATTTTGTAGACACAATTACATGAAGAACATTTCGGGATTTAGTCTTTTAAATGGAGAAAGTTGCTTTGAAGTGTGTCTAATTTTTTGAAGAGTAATGGAGAACTGTTGTACTTTTCCGATCCTACCTTTGATATTTTCATCTGTTTCGCCTATAGTTGAAACGATACTACTCAGTTAAAGGAAGGAAAAGTAACTCCTTTTAGGTTACTCCCGTTGGCACTAGTCAATGAAATCTACAACAGGTAGTGTAAGCTACGTAGGAAGGTGTAGACTTCCAGGCTGGGTTCCTCGGGATGGTAAAAATCTATGGTTGGAAACAATTGGTGACATGGCTCAAAATCGTTCTCAATGGCTGGTGCAGATGCATCCACTCCTTGTGACTTATGATCTCCAATGAAACTGTTTTGTTCTTCGTTATTACTCCTCCTTTGTCTCACACCTCTGCTCACTGTTTCTATTATGCTTTTCTTGTACTTTCTTCTCTTGCTTCGCGTGCTACACGGAGTGTGGCGACTTGAACTTCCGCACATTTGTGCAAAGTTCTATGTCGAAAACAGACAGACAGACAGACAGACTCCCGTTGAGTATCTATGTTAGATAAGTTTATGTGAAATAAAGCGTAGTGATACAGTATTAATAATTGTTGTTAATACCCCATCATTTTGTATCCCATCTATTATCCTACCATAGTGCCTAACTTCTACAGTTAAATTCATTGCATCAGTTCTATTTATAAAACTGCATATCTTGCTTATTGCGTGAAATCTTGTCAATATGATTTGAGTACACTTAAACAGAAGATTTATTATGACATAAATGATTCACTAGTAATGAACTTAACTGCAGTACTGATGTACTTGGTGGAAGGGATGAGTTTGTTGCGCATAGTAAATAGAGTTTACTTACGCGTACAAATGGAAACTCAGTTTAAACTTTTTGTCTGTTTGTCTCTGACTACTGAAATATATATATATATATATATATATATATATATATATATATATATATATATATATATATATGTCTAGCTGTCAAGCTGCTTTGATCCCCTATGTAGGGTAGCTTCACAGAGTGGTTCTCGGTATTCTGAAAATTTTATATCTCCTGATGAACTTGTCTGGATAATTATTATAAACCAGAGCTTGTGCCAACTTTCTTACTTCCTCATCAAGTGTGCCTGTTTTCAGTGCATATTTGGCGGATTCCGTTGAAGAGGCACCTTATTAAGGCTCTTTTGTACCGAATAGGCCAGGAACTGTGATAATTAAGATACTGTCTTGTCCAGATAGGTAGGTGTGTTCTATAAATAAATCGTTTTATTGACCCATCAAGCCGTCGACTAAGCAATATACCTAGGGAAGATAAACAATTATCTCCCTCTTCCACAGACGTAAGTGATGTGCCACTCTGAACTTCATTCATTCGATTTAAAATTAAGCTGGCTGAACAAGGTTTATCACTTATGATTACAGTATCGCCTGCATACCCTCTATAAAGGGGCATATTTTCGATTAAATCCTTCGATAAATTCTTAATTTATGACATATAGATAGATAAGTGGTAAAAGGCGCCCTAACCAAACTCCATAGCAACACCATCAACCTGACGGAAACAATCATCTTGCTAGTACACAGAAATAATAAACCCCTTAAATAAGATATAGGGAATTGGAGGAAGAAAAATTATGTATGGAAACGTAATCACACAAAATGTCAAGTGTTTTGAGTAAAGGCGCGTTAGCGAATTTTAGTGTATATATATATATATTCATTTACACCATATTTTTTTCAATCTCCAGACTACAATTTCTGGTGATGTAAAGTTGAAATTGGTCCCATCGAATGCGAAAAAGCAACAACCAGAAAGGAATCAAGTAAGAATTCAAATGAGATTGATTTGCAGTCTTTTTCGCCTTCTTTATGTTTGTAAATTACGTAAAGGAAAGTAGATGATTAAGTATTATTCACACTACTGAAAATTTAGTCCTACGCATATCCTATTTATACTACACCCTTCCACAACTTACAGTAAGCATAAATGTGCACCGACGTAACAATAGGCGGATATTTCTCCATATAACTAATGATATTGTAACGACAGAAGACAAGGGCCAGGCAACAGATCGTTTACTGAGAAATTCAAGAGATATTTATAAATTTTTATTTACGTTGTTATCAGCGAAGGAGCAACCTCTTCTGATTGGCTGTTTTCTTGCTAAAGTTTATTCTGTACTGCTTGTGACCGTTTCTCAGAAAGTTAAGGCATATATCTGCGAATCGTATTTGCACACGTTAAGTCTACTGTGATTGGTTGATGACTTCCTCAAGGTTAGGCTTAGTTATTGTTCTTTTCATGACCCTGATTCGGAACGTGAACATTGACGTAAATTGTTGTCTACAATTCTGGCTTGTTAGCAGCCAACTCTCATCACAATATTACCTAACTTAATGACCCCTTAACTCTGTTGCTCATTTACTTTCTTCAGAAGGAGGAATCAGTCAATACGTTCGACGTGACTGCCAAAAAGAATCAGACCTTATAGAATAGTGACTAGATCACGAGTTTCTCGATTGTATTTACCAACCGAGCTATGAGCTATTAACCTAAGACCCGTTGACTTAAATGCTGTCACCCTCCAGACTATTGTTTGGAATATGTTGTTGATTGAAACAGCTTTTCAGCAGTGTTAGGCAAAGATTGAATTCGTTCACTTGCCTAGTTTTATTCAGTTAGATCTTAACAACCGATATTTCTTAGTCGGTAACTTCACACCCCTCTTGTCTAACAGTTAATGACACCATTTGGCCATACTCCAAGATATTGACAACCTCGTATTGTCAGTAAGCTCTGTATACAAATAAATGTAACGCATATTCAAGCATCACATCATATAAAGACGTTCAGAAGGCATGAGAAGGCATATAATCAAATATTTTTCTGAATGAACACATTCAACTTACAGAAATCTCAAGGAGAATGGTTAATTTCTTGAATTACTTCGTGTTTTTACCCCTAGATGCATATTCGAGCTTTATTCTCCTACAGTCCAAGTTCAGATTCATTAACCCCATGTCCAGAAGCTGGTCTCGCATTTTTAAAGGGTGAGATCCTACGAGTAGTCAATTCAGAAGATCCAAACTGGTGGCAAGCTGTAAAGGTGAGGAATAACAAATTTCCAGTTTCACTCACTTGAAGATACTCCATGTTTTTATATGAAAAAAACACATTTAAGTTACTGGTGTGACTGATTGACTGACTGACTGAGTTGATTTCAATACAGAACTCAGTATGATAGTGGGCCATTTCCAGTCGACACACTCCATTTAGCATACGCAGTTAGAAAAAGGAGATCCAAAGAAGTTTAATTAGCAGAATTGCGAGGGAAAGAGAATAGTGACATGGAAGGACATTAAGGATTTATGGAAATGAGAGTTGTGAATGCGTCTGAGCCATTGAAAATGATTTTTAGTCCTATCACCAGTTGTCTTCAGCCGTTGATCCTTATCATCCTGAGGACCATAACCAGGAAGTCTACATCTCTCTATGTGGCTCAAACCAAATGTCTTTGAGTTGATGGATTAATGCCACGTTTTAATTCGACCACTACTAGCGCTTTTCCAACGTAATCCTATGTCATATATGTCCAAACCAAGTTCACCTTTAACAGTTTGAAAAAATTTGCGCATTGGGTATATGGTATTCATTATAATAAAGGTTCTTTTTGTATTTCCCAATGAATGAATGAAAAAGAACAAAACGATATTACTGCTGCTTTTACTGACGTTTCGCTATTTAATGCTACTGCTAATAGCTTTATCAAAGTAATATTAAACCAGAATTTACAAAATCCACTCAGCATATATAAAACAAAGAGTTAAGAGGTGAGAAAATAGACAAGTTAGGTCAAGTTAAAATGACACAATGAAAGTCAAAATAATAATGAAGATCACTAAACCAAATATTGAACGTAATAGTACATCTGTTATGATATCAAAACAAAGTATACTAATAATTGAATTTGAGATTTTCCCGTCGATTGATTGGACCGAAGCGCTCGGTCTCAGGTTGACATGTCGGCTTCTTGTGCAGATGCCTCGACATTTAATTAGTACTGACTGATGTTTCGCTATTTAATGCTACTGCTAATAGCTTTATCAAAGTATTATTAAACCGGAATCCACAAAATCTCAGCATATATATAACAAAGAGTTAAGAGGTGACAAAATAGACACTTGAAAAATCGCCAGCCATAGCCTGCCTACATACTATAGAATCAGGCCACAAAATTGATTTTGACAATATTGAAATAATCCAGAAAAACCTCCGAGATCATAAAGAACGTCTCACTTCATCAAAAACACTTCATATCAAGTGGAATCCAAATTGTCTGAACAGGAATGATGGACTAAAACAGAATCTAACCTGGCTACAAAACCTCCCTCCCCTCCCCCATGAAGTGGCAAAATCAACACACACTACTTTTATAGTTTTACACACTGATCGAATCCAACAATCTACACTTGATTTTGTTATCTTTACCAATTGGCCAACTTGACAACAAAAAATGACTACAGACTGACGAACGGTGATCAAGTTAGTAAACTTTGTTTTGCTACCATAACAGATGTACTATTACGTTCAATATTTGGTTTAGTGATCTTCATTATTATTTCGACTTTCATTGTGTCATTTTAACTTGACCTAACTTGTCTATTTTCTCACCTCTTAACTCTTTGTTTTATATATGCTGAGTGGATTTTGTAAATTCCGGTTTAATAATACTTTGATAAAGCTATTAGCAGTAGCATTAAATAGCGAAACGTCAGTAAAAGCAGCAGTAATATCGTTTTGTTCTTTTTCATTCATTCATTGGGAAATACAAAAACCTTTATTGTAATGCGTAATCCTATGTCGGCTGACATTTCCCGTCGAGGAAGGAGATAGGTAGCTATCTTAGGTGACTCACCTTGATAACTACATCGATTGACTTATCCTCCTTAAATGGCACTCTTCGCCTAACTGCACTATTATTTATTCATCATATTATATCACTAAACATAGTAGAAAAAAGTAAGCATTTGTGTCCAAAGATACCTGACCTCTTCATGTCTTCCACTAGTGTGAGAATCATAAAGGAAAGAAAGTAAACTAGGACTGCGTTGCCACATTTAGTGTGTGTGTGTGTGTATGTGAGGGCTGATAATTTTTGCCGTTTGCCCAAACTGAAGCAGTTGTAGTCGGATTCGAATCTAGGACACATACATTAGCTTTAAGTTCAACGCTTAAGGTAATGAGGTGCATCTTCACACATTTACTCATGCATCACACCTTGCAAAGTGAAGGTATCACTATGCTACTGGGAAATTATCATGTACAACTATTACAATACATTAAATCGCTTCATTTGGTTAATTCCTTTCCATTCTGTTGCCGACTTATGCATGGAAGTTGAAGTGCCTTGAATAGATAAGGTCAAATAAACCTATGAAGTAGATTAAGTCTAGCATTTTTCTAGCCTTATATATATATATATATATATATATATATATATATATATATATATATATATATAGGAATTAATATATGCAGTAATTGCATTGTGTTTGTTAAAAAAATAACATCAATAATTCTTCACGCTGTGACCTTGAACACTGATATTTTAATGATGTGACCTTAAATTCATGGTAAACCATTCATTAGGTCACTCACTGGTGAGAAGACCAAAAAGAGACCAAAATTCAGTTTCACCTCATCTTCGTTTCTTATCAATGAAAATGATGGGAAATTTGTCCCAGATTTTTCTTTCTTTTGTTTTAATTTAATGACAACCAAGTGACAGGAACGTAAAAAATGAGAAGTACATCACATTTCTGTTAGATTTCAAATTAACAGTTAGCTGTTTATTTCCGAATAATACTGTAGCGTTTTACGTTTGAAGCGTATAGCTTTTCGATCAATAAGGAGAAGAGATCGACATATATCACCGGCATCAGATTTCTACAAAATCTGGATAGACTTTTAATGAATTATAGTTTCGCTTGTTTGTTTATCTTGTATTGTATGCAAACACAGAACAACGATTGATGTAAGTGTAGAATTTTGGCACTTTGGTAGAATGTAATTACGTATTAGATAAGTTTATTTCAAATGTCACACAGTGATGATGATGCAGTATTAACAACTGGATGACAAGGTTTCGACCATAAGTTATAACAGTTCATAATCATATCAATTCAGTCACACGGCTTCACAAATTTTCTCATATATGTTCTCTCTTTACCAATCTCCTTGTTATTTGTTGCCACTTCCCATTTCTCAAGTATAGGCGTTGCGTCAATTCGATTGCTGAATGAATACACAAAGTTCCAGTGATTAACCTCTCTCTCTCTGTCTCCGCTTAACTATAATACTGTTTGATACTTCCATCCTGTCCTACTCTATTTTGTGATTACATGCAGGTGAATGTAGTGCAATGCAACAGCTGAACTTTTTTCTAGGTTATTTATCTTAGCAGAGCCGATCATTCTAGATCCAGCTAGATTTTTATATTCCAATAGTCTAGTTGACGCTGATCTACTGGTTTGACCTATGTAATTGACCTCATAGTCAGCACATTACATGGTATTTGGTAAATAATATTATTTTTCCTAACTGAATCTATTGGGAGTGTCCTCAAGCCGACAGAGTTTATTTCTGGGAGAGTTGGTTGGTTGATTTAAATGTCACCCTAATTTCAGTGTCATTTTGAATCCTACTTAAAGCCTCTAACTTTCCTTCTGTATACGGTAGTGCTACAGAGGCTTTGGATTCTATATTATTTTCGTTACTTTTATTGCCAGTCATAGTTTATCAATTGTTCTTCATATATTTTTGAATAAATTCTGGCGTGTAGTGTAGTAATATTTTCCTTATTTGTTTGATTTCGCTATTTAAATCTTCTGGCCTCTTAGTTATGCTCTTGACCTACTTGTACCGACCGATTCAGTTTGGGATGAATGAAAGACTAAGTATTTATTAGAGTGCATCATTTTTCTATAAATGCTTAAGAGAATAAGTGTTGTGTGTGTACGTCGACTGTATATATGAATGTATGAATTCACAAAACCGATTAACGAGAAAAAATATGACTGAACAGACCGAACAAAAGCTAACGGACACCCTCCGTTAGCTAAAAACTGAATCTTTCATCAGCAACGAAATGTTCGAATCCCTAAGATCATCCAGCTCAAATATACCACGACTCTACGGACTCCCGAAATGCTTAAACGTTAGATCAAGACGACTTATTTTTAAACTAGCTTAAATCCATTTTAGAAACCAGTAATTTGCCCTTATTAATGTTTTCTATAATATATATATATATATATATATGTACTTTTATGTTTTCTGTCTTCCGCTTCTTGTGGTTCATTACAATTTCCCATGTATCTAGGGTAGGTGTTGCGTCATTTCGATTGCGCGTGTTTGGTATTGATTGCATGAAAAAGACTGTGTGACTGACCTCTCTCTCTCTCTCTCCAACTAACTATATTACTTTTCGTACTTTTAACCCAGTCCCACTCTATTGTGTTACTGGAAGCAAGTGAATGAATTTCAGTGGACGAGCTTGTTTCTAAACTACTTAACTCAGGAGGATCGTTCATTCTTAGGTTTACCTAATTTCCTATATTCTGATAATCTAATTAACCTCGATCTACTAGTTTGTTTTTGATATCATTCATTGTAATCTAGCTAAGTGCGGTACATTGTTGAAAGGTTTTCCTGACCTGAGTACTTTGGTGAACTCCGAGATCTGACAGTTATTTCTGAAATTGTCATTGACTAAAACTATAGCTTCCAAAAAAAAAAGAATACCGTTTCAACTTCATCCTTACACTTCTTACAGGTTGAATTCCCCCTCAGTGGAGCTGTTTCATTTGTACTAGGCAGTAATATAACACAACCAGGATTAGGAAGAGCTGGTCTAATACCGAGTAAAATGATGCGAGAATGGTAAGTTGCAAGTGTACTACAATACCTTTAGCACATATTTAATTTGTATATATGCATGTCTTGTTGCGCTTTTCGTCAAAAATCTGTTGGTTTACTAGTGTTGATGATCTTCCGATGAAGTGATTCGCTCAAGATTATAACACACACACACACACCTGGTTGTTTATGCTTCTCAATGTCACGTGTTCAGTGATTAACCAACTAACTAACTAACTAATTCACCAGCGTATTTTGACAGTCTACTCTTTTTCGATCATGTAATACTGTGTGCTTACAAAATTTGTGTTTTTTTCAAAAGGCCTTTATTTATTTTTTATCTTTCCCTAGTCTACAAAGCAATTCAGAATGTTGGTTGTGAAATTACTGACCTAATGTTTTATCATTACTCATTGAATCATACCCTCTACGACAATAGTTCTTCACTTAGACATCCTTGACAATAAAATGAATGGTATTTTCAGGTGTTTGGTTTGCAAGAGGTTTGACAAGTTTCAGGTTAGATTATGGATTGATATCTGTTAGGGAGCCATAAAAATCCAGGAAGTAAAGGATAGCCGTTTCGTCCTAATTTGGAACTCTTCAAAGGTATGCAACCAGGACCCTTTTAAACCGACACTTGTAAATTATTCTACTACTCGCTAGTCATTGACTGCAGGATGAAGTTGTCTGGAGTTATTTTTTGAGGGGTTTTGACCAGTGAGGTGGTCCACTAGGTCAGGTGTGATGATGAATACTCGCCGATAACATTAGCTGGTGGAAGTCTCTATAAATGGTGAATTAACTGAAGTTAGAAGTGGTGAGCCGCTGGGTTCTTTCCCAGCTAGTGAACAGACAATGGGGTCGCTTCTTCAGCTGAACGCTCTACCTGGGGTAATGGGTGCTTAATGATGAAGCTTCCCAAAGTAAGACGAAACTGATGTTCTGACCTCCTTGGTTTGAAATGGTCATCCCATAATCTAACTTGAAACATTGTATTATATAAATCAACGAGAACCATCAGTGGATAGTGTATATCACTGAAAAAACACTATAAGAATAAGTAGAGCTTGCTAGTTAGATGAAAACTGATTTAAAACAGAACAGTGCTTTATTCACGTACTTGTTCAACGTATACTAACTGGACAGTTATCTTAAGTGAACAGGTACGCAAAAGACACTATGGATAGCTTTTAAATTATCTACGTTGTGAATGGTTATTTTTAGCTAATCATTATTTTCAGAAGAATGTATACTGAACAAAGAGTTCACTTTCCGATAACCCCTTCATCATCAGGCTCTACAGTTATACATACATTATACTGAATGAATTAGTGTTATGAACAACATTAATGTTGCTGTTTAAATAACATCGAATAAATAATATCGATAGATTACAGTTCGATAGCGTTAACATAAAATAAGCTGAATGTCAGAAAAATTAGTAAAGATAATAATTATACAAATTCATGAATTTCTAGTCTCTACTGAAGGCTAGCCAGGGCAGTTGTAGTGGCTCGCTGGAGTTGTTTCTTTTGGACACAGAGCACCGGTTGTTTGAGGCGAATTGTCATAGCCTCTGCTGTTTGGAACATGTGGTCCCTCGATGATTTTGGCAATTTATTAGGCACCCGGTAGATGATGATAGAGAAGGATTCTTCCACGCTGGCTTTGTAGCCGGTTTACACCAGGTGGTCCAATACCGAACTGTTAATGGTTTTCACTACACCTTTACTTAGCCATGCTGGGATATGTTCTCGAGCGAGCACAAAAAATCAAGTTCATAGAGCAACGGCCAATATAACTCGCTCCACCACAAGTGTGGTTGGATTGGTAGATTCAATTAGAAGTGGCTAGTGTAGGTACTTTATATTTCAGTCGAGGAATGGACTAGGTTCGTGTAGAGAATAAGACGTGTACACCTGCCCTGGCCGGCCTTCAGTAGAGAGTATAAATTCACTTTTTTTCCTTCACGTTCCCAGTGGAACATAGGGCCTCAAGCTAGTGGCTTCAAGTTTCTGTAGCAGTGTTTATTTTTTACAGGATGGGGTTGCTAGCCTCATGCCCAACCTTTCCTCTTTACTAGCTTTATTTCTGGCTTAGCGAGGTAAAGGAGTGAGTCGGTGTCCGGGGATGGAACCCCGGACCATGTGCATGGTCGGCAAGCATGCTAACCTCTGTGCCACCGACGCATGTAATATTATCTTTCCTAATTTCTCTGACATTCCGTGTGTATTGTTATGTTGATGCTACTGAAATGTAATCTATCAATACTATTGATTCGATGTTATTTAAACAGCATTAATGTTGTTCCTAAGACCAATTCATTCATTCACTATTATGGATGGATATATAACTGTAGAGCCTGATGATGAAGAGCAGGTTACCGAAAAGAGTATTCTTTGTTCAGTAAAGATTCTTTTGAAAATTTCAATTGGTATTTGTAATCAGCCAATTATCATTGCTTAGAATGAAACTTCTCATCACATGAAGTATGATAGTAATCTTGACTTCAAACTAGGGGAGACGCTATGCAGGACTATCTGATAATTCCGATGCATCGGGTTGGCATAAGTTACCACTAGGTATTACTTTAGCCTCCAAAGCCTCAGGATGGTTGGGGGTGGGTGCCTTGCGCTGCGGGTTGGCCACCCCTCCGTACACCTCCTGAAATGCTCCCATATTAGCGGACGTCTTACATAGCCTCTCCTGAGGAAGTCCTACTCACTGCCTTCACGTGGCGGACGTGTTTTTCACCGAAGTGAGAGGGCAAAAGCGGATGCCCGGCGCTCTTCACCGGGTTGACTGTCCATTGGATGACAGTCTAAGGGGAAATGGCTAAACCCTGATTCCAAACCTCCAACGACTGGCGTATGAAGCTCACCGAAGCTCATCGGCAGACGTATGGACAAAGGGCTTATTGGATGCCCTGGATGTCTGGCCCCATTCAAAAAGGCGTATGAACCGGACTCCGGCCACCGGCTGGCTGCCAATGGATAGTGGACTCCCTATTCCACTCCTACTGCCTTGTAGGTCACACTTGCTTGTGTAAAGGCTAGAGCTGCACTCTCAAAAAAGGCCAAGAGATGCTGGAGACATCACCCGTACCTAATTCCCATGAAACTTCATGAACTCTCTTACAAACAACATCAACCAAATTCCAGTACTGGTCCAACAACGTTGCCTTCGGTGGTTTGGCCATGTTCTGCGCCGACCAGATGACGATCTGGTCAAATCAGTTCTAAATCCCTCGCCATTTCCATCTTGGCGATGTCGCAGAGGTGGACAGCCAAAAACATGGATTGTTACAGTCAAGACTGATATGGAGTGCCTGACACTACAAACCGTCTACGGACTCCGTCTGTGGAATAAGAATTGGATAACCCTGTCGCAAACCCTTGCATCAGATCGCCGCGCCTGGGCAGCGATGATTCGAGATGTTCATGAAGCCGGCTCATCCTCCCGTAGGAGCTAGCCGAAGTAAAGAAAAGTAAGTACTTTTATCCAAAAAAGAATACTGTCATAAAAAGGAGTGTACATTTATTTAGGAGAGTACTTTCAGCTGGAAAAAATTGAAATTTTTCCACCCCCCCCATAGTTTTCAACAATCACTAGGGTAAATAAAGTCTAATTCCCCCACAATTATACATCTCATCCAACAGTTGTACAACAATGTTTTATGCCAAGTAGTCCACAACGGGAAGCTCACGGAATCCTTAGAAGTGAAGACGGGAGTAAGACAAACTGGCTGTCTACTATCGCTGATTGCGATAGACTGGATAATGCGACAGACAGACTGCGGGCAAAGAGGAAACAGGCATAAAATGGACCCACACAAAAACAGAACTTGGAAGATCTGGACTTCACCGACCATATATGTCTGATTTCACACAAACCGGAATATATGCAAGCGGAAACCAACAAGTCGTCAGAAGAAGCATCCAGAGAAGATAGGACTTCAGGTGAACATAGAGAAAACAGACATAGGTGATGAATATTGCTGGCCAACACCAGCAGCAACAGTAACAACAACAGACAACAATCAGCCAGCATAAATAGGAGGAACCCGAAAGAAACAACCTCCTTTACATGCCGACAAGGGAAGCATCGTTTCAACTGTAGTCAGTGGAATTGATGACGATATCAAAGCGAGCAACATCGGGAAAGCAAGACAAGCTCTCATTACTCTCAAGTCTGTGTGGAGATCAACAGCAGTGCTCAGCATCAAAAATATGATCCGGATTTCCAAATCCAATGTGAAATCAGTGCTACTTAACATACGGATCAGAGACTTGACGCCTCATAACGAGCATCTCAAACAAACTTCAGACCTTCATCAACAGCTATCTTCGCTCAATACTCAAGATCAGACAGCCGGGCAGGGAAGATCAGAAACGGGGATTTTTGGAAATGAGCGAACAAACCCAGCAGGAACCGGTTGTGCAACAAATAGGCAGGAAAAAATGGAGATGGATTGGCCGGCCATACTCTGAGGAAACCATCAAGTGACATCACTAGACAAGCCATAGTTTGAGTGGAACCTAAATGGGAAGCGGCGAGTTGGTCGTCAGTGCCAAGGTGGGGTGACTTGGAGGAGGTCATGTGAGGAGGAGATGAAAGCATGTGGGCAGACTTGGAGCGGGATGAAAACGTTGGCAGAGAACCGAACGCAATGGCGACGCGCGGCTGAAGCCCTATGTTCCTGTAGGAATTAAAGGAAATAATAATAGTAATTTCCCCACCTAAGTATTTAGTTTCAATTGCACCTGTGAAAAGTAAGTAAACACAAGATGGGACATTTGAATGTGGACATTCTTTAATCAAACGAATGCACTGGATGACAATACTTATGAAGAGAATGTGTGTGTAAAGGTCCACTACATCACCAGCAGAAGTAGATGAGATCAGTAAACTGGTAGACTTTATAAGGTGGACTGATGGATTTAAATTCCTGTAAATTGTATCGCTGTTGTAAAACGTTTACTGGAAAGTTTCCATCGCTTAAAGTAGACTATATTATGTTATCAAGCACAATTATGAAATGTGTGTTTTGCTAACCATAGTCTGATATCAGTGAGGAGTAGATATTTCAACTAGGATAAGAGCAGATTCCTCTTAAACGCGGAATCGGTTAGGTTTCATAGGTTGGTAATGGTGTGTGCCAGTTAATTACCACTTCATCAGTATGAAATTTAAAAATCTTAACCTTATTTCTGACTTTGTTTAGACAGAAAACAGAAAGATTGAGCAAAGAAATATTCACTTTTCAATTAGATCATCATCTCACTCTGGCTCTACTCTAATATACACATAGAGCATTTTTATTATTACAATACACAACAGTTTACCAATCAAGTAAGTGGCACTGATATGTTTGTTAACAATAATTAGTCAGTGTCAACATGTCAATGCGGCGGGTGATAATTAACGAAGAAAGTCAATACACATTCAAAAGGTGGAAATGGTTATAATAAACTAATTTTACGAGGATAACACGTTATGAAAGATGAAGTGGTCAGAAAAAATAATAAAATAATTTGGACAATTATAATTTTTATAATTTTATACGTTTAGGGGAAAACTGGAGAAGTAGTCTGGTTCATACATTCAAGTAACGATGGCCAAGGTAAGGAAAGTGGCTATACAAATTTCTTCTGAACACACAAGTTTGGCTTCTTCAGGTGGATTCCTATTGCTTCAGCGGTAGGTATGTGGAAGACGAATATGTAGAGCAAAATTAAGATTAGTGTAAATGCGATAGATAATTTTCAATGCTGTATTAACGTCAACCTTATGCTCACTATCTACAAGTTGTGCTAAAATAGAGCTACATATAGATCTTGTTTGTCCCTTGCTTAACCATGTTGGATGATGTTCAGGAATACGATGATGAACCTGCCTAACTGTACGCCCAATGTAGCTGGCTCCGCAGCTGCAGTCAAACTGGTAGATGTACAGAGAAGAGGCAAATTTAGGTAGTTTATCCTTATTTCTCGAATGTAGAATAGGGGTGGTTGTAAAGAGACAACGTACCTCTGCTGCATAATAAGCTCTTTTAACTCCATTCTTCAGGCGCTGTGTTATTATTTCGCTGATGTTGTCACCGAGGAACTGCAATTTTATGAACATTGGTTTTTTCAGAACTGTTGTATTACTGACTCTCCTAGGTGCTGAATCCATATTTTTCCCAATGAACTTATCTGGATAACCATTTTTTCTAAGTAATTCTCTAATAATCTTAAGCTCCTCATTGAGGCAGTCGTCTGAACAGATTAACCTGGCTGTATAAACCAGACACTTTACCAGGTTACGTTTATATTTCACAGGTACAAAACTCAAAAAATGAGTGTACTGACCTGTTGTTGTAGTTTTCCTATACACACTCCTTCTTACTGTGCCATCTACTTTCCTTGCCATAAAGACGTCTAGGAATGGTAAAGTTGATTGCTGAATGGGCATCCTTAAACTTGCCAAGGATGTTCATTGTATCAATTTCGTCTTTCATAACCAGAAATGTATCTTTCATATATCGACAGCAGAAATCCAAGTCATTAATTACTCCTTTCAGGGGTCGTTTCTCTAATTTAGCGAGGAAAAATTCAGCTAGGATTAGACCTGATGAGGAACCCATGGCTACAACATCAACTTGTCTGTAATATTCCTTATTGAATGAGAAATGGACATTCATTGTACATCTTAAAATAAGTTCTTTTAAGATGGATACAGAAATGCCGATGTCTACAACTACACTGTCGCATCTGTAAGAAGATCTATTCAGTGCATATTGAATTGTCTCTTAAGATCGTAGAATAATTTTCGCTGAACTCTTGAATTTCTATGATCTTATTTACTAGTCAACTATCTTGTGGAGCCAGTTCAAAGTGATGGCAGGCGACTGGGTGTGATAAAAATGTCATCTGTGTTCCCATACGAACTCAAGAGATAAGTAATAATAATAATGATCCAGACATCTAGTATTAAGCGCTTGACACCAAATCTTAAGAAGTCTAGGTCTTTGTGTCTCCTGATACTTTTCGTTAACATACACAAGGATCTGGGAATGGTTTTCACCTTTTTGGGATCAATATCCATATAGACGGGCGATTTTTACTTGGAATATTCAGGTTTCTGTGATTTCTTGCAGCATAAAACTATTCGAGCATTACTGGTTATCGGCCAACTGGATTAACTGTAGTGGGTTGGTGGTTTGGCGTTAAAGTGCTGGCCAACCATGCATGTGGTCCATGGTTCAATCCCCAGTCAACTCACTTTTCTACAACTTGTTTGATTGGCAGTAAATCCTGTAATAGGGGAGAGTGGGCGTGAGGCTGGCAACCTCACCCCATAAAAACAACGCCATAGCTACCGAGATTTCCAATCAAGGAAGTCAAGATATGATAGGCAGGGGATTAACTATTGATTAAGAAGCAAGCAGTAATTACCAATTTCGTCAGTTGGATTCTGATACTATAGCGACACTCTGAATAGTCTTTATTTTGTAACTTCTGATACTTTGATCCCTGGATTTAATTGTTTTACTAAAATTATATTTTTATGCCAGGAAAATACAATATCACTTCAATGCATTGCATAAAAATGGAGGACAAGATATGCAAACTAACGGTAAGTGAATGTTACTTGTAAAATATAATAGATTGGTGTTCAATAATAATAGTAATAATAATAACAATATACTTTACTCCAAAAACAGTACTTGTGATACAGAATGGAATTTTCAGCATTAATCACAATATTATTTCATCTAATTTCCTCAAATTATAAATAAAATTATTCACACAGAAAATTTTCCACATTTACAATAGGGGTGGGTAATGTCAAAAACACTCAGCATATAAAATGGAAATAATAATAATAATGATAACAGCTAAGGTAATAATAATAATACGAGTGAAAATTGCCATGGGTTTGTTATACACAGTATTGTCGATGCGGTATAGAAATCCTAGCATGTTTAAAAATATTGAATATAATATTCTCTTTACATGATATGGTGAGGGGAAAATCAAAGATTACAGCCGTCATGGAGATAAGTTGGTGTTTGCAATTATGAAAAAAAAAAAAAAGAGAAGTAACAGGACCATAAATATAATAGAAATAATAAAGGTAAAACTTGAAGGTATATAAGGATGGATAGAGGAAATTGTTTATTTACTAGATGAAAAAAGGTTGGTTAATTCTTTCCTGACACTATTTTCATCACATAAAATACGTTCCAAGTATGGTATCAGGGAATTTTTATACTTAGACATGCGAGCATACAGTTTTCTGAAGTTACTTGTTGTTCTAACTGAGGAGATGCAAGGTGAAACTGAGGGTAAAGTGGATGCTCCAAGTCAGACAAAATCCCTTTAGCGAATTTATTGTACGAAGTCAAGTGCCCATCGACAACGACGTTAACTATGTGGTCCACTGGGATACCACTCACCCTACTGACAGTCTTCAGTATTCTGCGAATTGTGACATAGTCCTTTTTAAGCAAACCAGGAAAGAATAAGCAAGGGTGAACAATAAAGAAGAATAGGTAGGATGCAAGAGTTTATGAACTGTAAGAGGAGGAGGGGTTGAGTTATACCCGAATCCTTAACTTCTTAATGTAAAATGTCAGGCGGAATGTTTTACTGGAGATTGCTAAGACATGGGAAGTCCAGGAGAGATCAGAAGAGAGAATAAGTTCAAGATACTTAATTTCTGATTTGACACCTATATCATTGTCGTCAATTTTACAACTGTCATAAGAATCGACGGCTTCTTTTAACTGTCTTTTACATCTAAAGCTAAAATTAACAGTTTGACACTTGAAAGTATTCAGTTTAAGACCGTTAGACTCAGACCATTTACTGACTCTCGACAGAAAGCTATTTATTTTGGTACAATCTAGCTGGGAGTTAACAGCCATTGAAACTGTTAAATCATCAGCGTACTTCACAAAGTTTATTTCATCTGTATGTCGTTAATTTTATGGTGGAACTTTGCACAGATGTGTAGCGGCTCGGTCGCCTAACTTACCACCCACCCCACCCCCAATGTAGCAAATAAAGCAAAAGAAAATCCTAAACATAGATTCATAAAAGTGAGAGATAGTAAACAGAAGTGTGTGTGAGAGAAAAAGAGAAGTACTATGGAAGAACAATAGAATTTTATTGGATATTATAAACCAAAAAGAGTGAAGGCATCTGAGCCAACAATTTTGAACCATATCACCATCAGTAGTCTCCAGCCTCCATTGGTCCTCACCATCCCGAGAACTGCAACCAGTCAGGCGGTCTACACCTCCCTACGTGACTCGCTGACTGGCTGGCTTAAACTAACTGTTGTGGATTTCTCCATTGACTGATGAAGCCATGTTTTCGTCTGACCACCACCACCACTGGTTAGCTTTATTCCAGCCTGATCCATCCTATGTAAGCTAACACTGGCCGTTGAACAAGGCCACCGATGGCCAGGAATGTATGCATGCGTTACTCGTGTCCTAGCCATCTCTCTCCCCCCTCAATCGATGAAACTTCACAATCTCGTCGACTGATTTCCCCTCTGCTTCTTACCTACCACTCGATCGAGGTTTCATTCCTATGTTGTTTACCCTATTATGCCACCATCTAACACAGTACATGCAACGACAGCTAGCCAGGCTTTTCATCTCTTCCACTATCAACAGCCATGTCTCACTCACAGCCAGTCATATAGCAGGATCGAACGAAGTGCTGCTGCCACTGACGATGCTGTTGACCAGTACACACACCCTTTAGTCGACAGACAGACAGACAGACGGATACCACGTCTACTAAGAAGGAGATGGCATAAGTCGGCTAATAAATGCCAGACCAGTCTTTTCTATCCGTATCTGCGCTGAGATTTCCTCGGCGTTTAACGCAATGGTTCGGATTGATTTACACAGATTACTATTACTACTGGTAGACATCTAATCGTAATTATTGAAAGAAAAGTCTTAATTCAGTCAAGTGATGAAACAAGGCAGGTGTACTTACTGATTTTGATTGACACAAATATGAAAATGAGTGTAGAGGTAACTAATTATGCTTTATCAGAAAAATCGTTGAAGTAAAATATTACAGCGTTTCAACTTCAGACTGGAAATTCTTGAAGATAGTCAATTTTCCGACAGATGACTGTTTTCAGAATGAAGACTGTATTCTACTGAATGCGTGTGCTGATCATTCAAGTGACGTCCAAAAGAAATTGATCTGTTAGGTGAACAGGTATTTCTAGTGGTAAAAAAAGCGTCATAATCTTCAACTGAACTTCATGTAAGGCGACCATCGATAGTGTCTGTTGCATTATAAAAACTGATAAAGGCTTTTACAAAATTCAATGAAGGTTTTCTTGAATGAAATTAGCAAAAATAGGATGATTTAATTGAAATTGGAATATAAAGCTGGCGGTGGGCAGCTCAGATGTGTTCCAGATGTTCAGCTTGTCGTCGTGTCCACTGAACTCACAGGAACAACTAACTTATCCGAGATGCTGTCACATTTTCGTTTGAGTGACTGTTACCCTAAGAGTCATTCAATAATTAGTTACACTTACTGTCCAGTCATAAAAATTACTAACAACCTAAAACGGGTTATTCAGGAGGAGACACTGGTTGACTGTTGACTCTACTATTTGAAATAGTGTTACTTTGACTTCGATACAAATAAATGGGATATTAGTAAATCGTACTTAATGATATTCTATACAATATGAGGATTTCATTATGGATAAAATTTTTTTAATAAATCACACAGTGTTGTTATACACTAATATTAACTGATGACCACAAGTTTCGAGCACAAACTATTGCCACTGATAATCATATCAAGTCACTCACTCACTCACACAACTTTTTTCCTACATTTATATGCATGTGTGGAATTGACTAGATATTCGAATAAAAATCCCTATGGCATAATGTACATTCAAATAATAATAATATGAGTGTTATTGATCAATTACAATCAGATGGGAAATAAATAAGACGAGTGTTATTTTTATAGTTATAATAAGTAACTTGTTAGAATGTTATGCTGTTATACATAGGTCAAGCTAAGTAGATCAGGAGTAGTGAGATTATCAGAACATAAGAATTCAGGTAACTTTGATCCCACGAAGATGGGTAATTTAGAAAAAAAAAGCACTCAGCGATTGTACTGGATGCATTAACACACAACCACACAATGGGGTGAGTGGAACAGAGTCAAGATTGTAAAAAGTAATAAAGGTTGGTGGAGAGAGAGAGAGCGGCTGATTTCTGAATCCTGCCTAGTTCATCGAGTGGTCTACACCCAACACAACACATGCAATAGAAGTGACTCAATGTAAATTCCAGAAATATGGAAGATATTACTACCATCAGTCAGTCAATGAAATCAGAGGGGGATAATAAATAGTCTTAAATTGTATTCGATTTCAATTCAAACACATCACAACATTCTAACAAGTAACTTATTACGACTATATAAACACTCGTCTTATTTCCCATCTCACTATAGTTTATTGATAACACTAATGTTATTTCCGAGTGTACTTTATTTGGATCTTATTCAAATGCCCAATCATCAATTTTTACTCATGAATATAAATGAAGGAAAAAGTTGTGTGAGTGAATACTTTGATATGATTATGAGCAGTAATAATTTGTGCTCGAAACGTGGTCATCAGTTATTAATACTGTACAACACTGTGTGATTTTATCAAAATAAAATCTTATGCATAATGGAGTTATTCTCTACCACAACAGTGCCCAAGTTTTATCCTTTTATAAAACACAAAATAATTTAGCAAAGAATATCCTTTTCGATAATTCCCTCCTCTTCTGGCTCTACAATTATATGCATATGTTTATATACATAGAATATTCTAGAATAGTTGTCAATAACAATATTAGTGTTTTTTTAATAATAATATCGATTTGTAAAGTAGGATCAGAATGGAATTACAGTTCACTGAAGATGCTTAAATAATAATAATAAAGATATAGTAGCGAATGGAATATCAACTAAAATTAGGAAATTATTGAATTGAATTTTTGATTTTCCCGTCGATTGATTGGACCGAAGTGCTCGGTCTCAGGTTGACATGTCGGCTTCTTGTGCAGATGCTTCGACGATGTCCGGGAACATCATCACTTACTGAGAAATGCAGGTACATCCAGCTGACGAGTTCCAAATAGGACGAAATGCGCATCTGGGATTCCATTGCTAGCCACCATCCACCAATTGTATACTAAAATTAGGAAAATTCCACAAAATTCAAGACTATTAAAACCTGGTTGGCCAAGGTAAGGATAATGTCTGAACCAACCAACATCTTTTGGACGCACAAATTAGGCTTGGTTAATATGGATCCCCACAGCCTCAGCAATATTTAGTGGTCCAATTCTTCGGGAGAAATTGAGATTCGTAGGTATGTGGTAAATGACCCTGAAAACATGGTTAACGTCGATCTTGTGTTCTGTCTGCGCAAGATAAGACAGAATAGCGCTGTGAATACATTTGGTTTGCCCTTTCCCATCTAGGTTTGAATGATCCTCAGTTTTTGTGAAATTTCCCTAATTTTATTTAATATACTGCTTGCTATTATATCTTTATTATTATTATTTAAGCATCTTTAATGAACTGTAATTGAATTGTGACCATACTTACCAAATCAATATTATTATTTAATAAACATTAATATTGTTATTGACTACTAATCTAGAATATTCTATGTATATAAACATGCATATATAATTGTAGAGCGAGAAGAGGGAATTATCGAAAAGGATATTCTTTGCTCAATTATTTTGTGTTTTATAGATGTTTGAATGAATATTTTTATCCTTTTATCAATCTGATGATAAATATAATCAAATTATTCAAACAACAGTACAATAGTTTTTACAGGAATACATGTCTCCTTAATCTGTTTCTCCCCATCCCTTTTTATTTAAGATTCATTATCATATGAAGAAGTGGAACGTTATTTCCCCGAAGAAGGTTGTTATCGACCGATTGTCTTAGTAGGTGAGTTGTCTACTCCATCATGTCATTCATTGTCTTATAGACTCAAATCGGATGTGGACTGTAGCGTCAGACATGGCACAGAACTCTATCGCTGAGTAATACTACTACAGTTGAGCCTGCTAGTAGTCAGGTGGTAATTGCCAGTTAAAAAAACAACAACTGTGTTTTGTAATCACTACAAAACAGTTGAAAAAGTCATATTTATTCGTACTTAAAGTACAGAATTCGAGTTCGGATTTCAGTTAGTTGAACAAGATGTTTGTGTTTTGTGTTGTGCTTAGAGTATCACTCGTGACTGAGGATTTCAAACTTCGATAAGTGATTAATAATAATAATAATAATAATAACGTGTCTACTCTTCATATGGAATCATGTGAATGAATTATTGCCACAATCAACCACTGTATTTATGAAAATCGCGCCTATTTTTTTGTCCAAACGAAATCAGCGTTAACGATGTAGCCAAGGCTGATGATGAAACGTCCGTGATTAGTTGCCAGATTTTGGTAGAATTTTCACAGCTACAAATCTTCCCCATTGTTTTTAGGAGCTGTTTCTATAACAAAGCGTAAGAAAATGACTTCATTTTTATGGCGTTATCAAGTTAGTCAGTTTAAGACTATTGTCTACGCCACACTTTCTGTCTGCTGAGGACTTCAACTATTAGCATTGAAAGCGTAGAATAGGAAAGAAGTTTATCTGTGGTGCAGTCGTAGGATACTCGCCAATCACACCACACATGGTCTGGGGTTCGACCCTCGGCCAACCCACTCCTAAACCACTTTCAGCCGGTAGAAAACCCAGTAAAGAAGGAAGCTTTGGCGGAAGACTAGCAACCCCAATGAAACTTCGAAACTTCAGCTTGTAGCCTTACGTTCCTACCTGGGAAGGCAAAGGGATGAAAGCGAATAACAAAAAGGATTGATAGAAAATTCTTTCATACATCGACAAGTACTTTTTCGTGCTTACAATTATTTTCAATTCATTCGACGTAATGCGTAACCTGTGTTATACCAAGAATATTATTTTTGAAGTAGTTTGACTTGCATGTCGATGATTTTATAGATCTTGACTATTATGCTCCTACTTTTATGTTGTAAACCTCAACTATTTTAAAGTTATTCATCCAGACAGTTTGTGAAGTAAGGCTTGTCCTCTTTTAAGCGATCACTGTGCAAATAAGTAATATACACTCTATTTGATATCTCCTTTTCCTTTGAACAGGACCAAGTGGTGTAGGCAAGTCAGAGTTAATTGGCCAGTTGATTAGTACAGATCCAGATCATTTTCGTGAACCAATCAGAAGTGAGTACACTGTTAGTAAATTTCTATATATCAGTATTATATATCTTGTAAATATCTCTTTTTTGTACACAAAGGTCTGACTTCGACTGTATAGCCGAGGTGGGCTTTCTACACAGATACAAGAACATATTCCATCAGGGATAAGAATAGAACTTGTGCACTGTGGTGGTAGAGTGTAATTCCATTGTGGGTAAAATTTTTTGTCGATAAAGTCTTACAGTCGTGTTGTACAGTAATATGCTTACTGATGACCACCTTTCGAGCATACATTATTACTGCTCATAATTAATATCACATCAACGCACTACTCATACAACTTTCTAACTTCCTTTATATAATTCCATTATTTTTCATCGGTTGACTTGATTGGTAGTAGTATTTGCCATCTGAAACCCTATGTAGAATTCTTAATAGAGCAGGAATTACGGTGTTATTTAAAACCTACAAACTCACTCAGATAGGACAAGCTGTGTAGGTTAAAGGACCCTGTGGTTTGATCCAATTAGACAAAATAATGTAGTTTACAAAATACCGTGCAATGACTGTGAGTTAAGTTAACTACATAGGTCAGTCAAACTAGTAGGTCAGGGCTAGTCAGATTATCAGAATAGAGTTTGTGATATAATTTTCATTCTCCTTCACCGGCTATTTGTATTCTAATATTCATGGATTTATAACTGTACAGTCTGAAAGAGAATTTGGAAATTATTGCTCGCTCGAATTTCTTCTTGTTCTGAATATGCTATTATTACATTACAATTCCCTTGTGTTTTGAGTGGAACATATAGCTTCAGCAGTACACCTCCACTTTATCCGGTTCTCTGCAGTTCTTTTGCCAGTTCTTTGCCAGGCCCCACGATTGGCCATAATCTCTCAACTCCTCCTCACACGGTTTCCTGAGTGTCACACTAGGAACTATGTCGAAATCGTTGTTTCTTACTCGGGTCCCAATCCAGCGATAGTCTGATGAGCGGTGTTATCTAACAGTTTCTTCAACATGTGTCCCATCCATTTCTATTCCATTGGGCGGCATAATTGCAGAACAATAGACTCTTGGTGGGTTTATTGCCCGAGTTCCTTGTTGTTAATTATTCCTGGCCGTCCACCTGATCTTCCATGTGGAACAGAGACAGCTGCTGATGAAAGCCTGCAACCGGCTTTTGAAAATACTCTACTCGACGCACCCGTGAATTCTTTGAACCCTATAAAAGCACTGACTGATCTGACACATTAATACTGAAAATCTGCATCTTGTTCATTAATGTAAACGTAGGTCAGCGAAGAGTCTCTTTTCCGCGAATTGATTTTCTTAGCTGTGCAATCGCAAATATATATGTGTTATTTTGTATGTATGTGTACATTAAGTTTGTCAAACAAAATTACAACTGGTATTGGTTATTTTAACTAAACAGGTGAAGACTGATAATACAAGTCAAGAAAATTAAGTGTTCATGAAATTAGGGTAGTAACAAAGGTGATGAATTGTCACACACAGTTGTTAGAAAGGAAGTTATGTACTAATAATATGAATAGTTTGATGAGTGAGTTTTACTCACGATGCACATAGGAACAAAGTACACAATAAGAAATTACGTAAGAGTTCTGAATGATAACAAGAATTATAAGCAATTAAAGAACAGGAAAGGAATCAAAATTAAGTCATCAAAATAAAAAAAGCTCAAATAAAAAAAGTTGTTTCCATGAGAGTAGAAGTGGTTGAGTAATTTTCTTTTGTATGCACAGCTCCGGTTTTTCTATGTGAGTGACCAGAGCTTCAGCGATACAAAGAAGACGAAACCATATTGCCTTTGATAGGTTATTCTTGACTCTGTAGATTACTTTGAAGGAGGCGTTTGTTGAAATGGAATTATCAGTGTTAACCAGGTGTACAATTATCGCACTCCTTATTGCACCAGTATTGCCTTTTCGCAACCATGCTGGATAGTGTTCTTGAAGCCTCTTGGAAAGGGTGCGCGTCGAACGACCGATATACCTGGCTCCACAGCAGCAGTTGAACTGATATATGCATATAGAAGTGGTCAGATGCGGAATCGCGTCCTTAAGGCTTCTGCAGATCAGTGGTCGACTGGAGAACACTATTCTTAGTGTTGCTGTAAAGAATTTTCTTCTCAGAGATGATGTGATCCTTCTCTTGAGAATATCGCTTGTAAAATCTCCCTTGAAATCCAAGTTCATGTAGAGTTTCTTTTTAGGTGCAATTAAAGTTTCCTTTCGCCGGATTATTGGTTTCATATTTTTGTCGATGAATCTTATTGGATATTTATTTTGGATGAAGATTTCTCTTTGAATATCCAATTCTGTTTCCAGAATGTCGGGACTACAGATGCGTCGAATGCGGGTGACAAGTGATTTAATTAAATTCCGCTTTTGTTGAATAGGTACCCAGCCATAGAAGCTTGTTAGCTGACCATTCCAAGTAGCTTTTCTATGGATTGATCTTCTCAGACACCCATCAACTTCTCTTGTTAGTTTCACATCAAGAAACGGAATTTTTGACTAGTTTTCCATTTCCAGAGTGAATTTTATTGCTGGATGGCAACTGTTAAATGTCTTCAGCAGTAGACTGGGGTCGTTGTCATTGTTACAAATAATGAAAATGTCGTCCACGTATCTCTTATACAGTCGCAAATTGTCAATGCTTGGCTTTAGTGGACCTCTCTCGAGGCTTGGCACGAATCAATCTGATAGTAGTGGACCCAACGGAGATCCCATTGCAATACCATTTTTTTGTCTATAGATGGTGTAGTTGAATGTGAACTGGACGTTCAGAGTGCATCTAAATAGTAATTCCTTCAAATATGTTGTTGGTATTCCAATATTGAGGTGGTTTTCATTTATATATCTGCATATGAAGCAGACCGTTTCCGTGAGTGGGCTGAATGGAGCAGATTTCCTAAATGATATCAGAATGGTGAAAGAAAGTCCTACCTTGCATTTTCGAAACAGGATTAGGACATTCTTATCCTCACCGAGTGGTCTTCTGACGTCTAACACCAGAAATAGCTTTTTATTTTCCCATTCTATACTAATATTTTGCCTTGATTTCCATTTGTTTACTTATTTATTCGTTTGATAAAGTAACCACAAGGGAACCAAAGCCGAATGAGGTACACGGAGTTGATTATTTATTTGTAACTAAAGATGAATTCAATACATTCCTTGAAGCTGACAGGTATGTTGTTTCACCTTTATGACTGTTATTATTGTTATTAATATTATTATTATTTCATTATTATTAATTATATGATTGGTCATATTTAGACTTAAGGAAAGGGAATCATCAACATAGTGGTTAGGAATCTCGCCGACCATGCACATGGTCCGAGTCTCGATCCTCTGCCGACTCACACCTGATTATCTATGGTCGGCCTGCAAAACTTGGGCTACCAATATCACATGCTGAAAATTCTAAACTTGTATCAAAAATACGGTGTGGAATCAAGCTGTAATCAAAAATAAAAATAAAATACATACAATAAGGTTATTTAAGCTAGACCACCTTTGTATTGATTAGATTTTCAGACACTGACCAACTGGTTTCAACCTATAAATTTGCATAGATGTGCAGCAGTTTAAGTTGCCTTAGTCCCCATCCCCCGTGTATCACACAAAAGGAACAATGAGAGTAGAGAGGGGTTCAAATCAGAGATAACGAATAGAAATGTGATTGAGGGGAAAACAATAGTACTATAGGAGAGCAATAGAATTTTATTGAATATTATAAATCACAAAGAGTGGATGCATCTGTGCCAGACATTGACAAAGATTTAGAGCTTTATCACCACCAGTAGTCTCCAGCCTCCATTGGTCCTCATCATTCCGAAAACTGCAATCAGTCAGGAAATCTGCACCTCCCTACGTGGCTCGCTGACTGGCTGGCTTAAACTAACTTTTGTGGATTTCTCCATTGACTGAAGAAGCCATGTTTTCGTTTGAACACCACAACTGGTTAGCTCTATTCCAGCCTGATCCATCCTATGTAAGCTAACACTGGCCGTTGAACAAGGCCACCGATGGCCAGGAATGTATGCATGCGTAACACGTGTCCTCTCCTTCAAACGGTGACAATTCACAATCTCGTCGACTGATTTCCCCTCCGCTCCTTACCTACCACTTGGCACCTAATGTCAAGCTCTAAGAAACACAGTTTAGTATTTCTTTAGAAGAAGAATTATGTTTTAAATTTTTCACACGAAGTTAACTGGTGGTGGTGTTTTATTCAAATAAAACAATTCCAACAGTGGTGTGAACACGGGCAGTAATTTTGCTCGAAATATTACTAATAACAAAACTTATCATTGTGTGTAAACTATTGAAATATAATTATACTTTATTAAAAAATACAGGTTTCAAGAGTGAGTGTAATCAGGGTGTGTGAGGCAATATGAAAATAAACCAACGAATGGGCGGTCTAGACTTAAGTTCAAGGTTGAAAATAACAACAATAAGAATGATTGTAAAATAATAACAATGATATGGTGTAAAATTAAAATTAAATGTACTATTGGTGAATGATTGTCAAATAATAATAATGAATATAATGTAGTGGAATGAACAGGATTTTGTAAATACGATAGCAAGTTAGAAAAGCACTATTTAAACCTAAGGTAATAAAATCATAAGAAAGGTCATGAAATCATAAAAGTCGAAAATGAACGTTTGTCAATGAAACAGAGGAATAGAAGAAGGAAAAGAAAAGAAAATTGTGAAAGGAATTTATAGTGTTAATGGAGGATTTGTTGGCTTTATTGTAGGCCAAGGTAAACATAGAGGTTGAACATACTTCTTCTGTATGCAGAGGGATGGTCTTTTGGTATTAATTGCAACTGCTTCAGCTACTGATAGAAGACGTAGTCGAGCTCCTCTAGATAAATTACTAGGAACGCGGTAAATAACTGAGAACGCTTGGTCAAGTTTTATCGGGTGTCCAGTATCTACCAAGTGGGCTAAGATTGTACTATTTATACCTTTGGTTACTCCTTTACTCAACCATACAGCTACATGTTCACGCGCGCGCATGGACAAAGCCCTCTGAGTACGGCCAATGTAACTGGCTCCACATGAGCAGTTGAATTCATAGATGCACATTGATGAGGCCATCTTTGGTAATTTATCCTTTACTTGCTGTGTGAGTAGTGGTTTAGTTGAGAAGTTTAGTACCAGTTTAGCTGCAGGAAATGTTCTATCTATTTCTCTATTGAGTCGACACTTTAGAATGTCAGCTGTAATTTCCCCTTTGTAAATTAACTAAAGATACAAAGATTTCTTGTCTACGGTATCCACCTTTACCCTGTCTATAGGTATTGACATATACTTTTTTAGGAAGCTCTGTTGTTATAACTGCACTGAATTAAGGTAAACCCCGTCGCCAATTTGTTATAACTGTAGGGAATTGAATGAAGACGTTTTCACCTTGCTCTGTCTGCGCCTGAACTAATCTGTCTATCTGCTTGTCGTACCTTCCGACTTAGTAAAGCACGCAAATATCAAAAGACAAAGGCTGGACTGTGACTGTGTATTGAAGTGCAACAACGATAAAGAAAGCCATGGTATTTATACATTTTACAACAATATGGACAGCTAACAGCATTTGAAATAATTGATCTTAATAGCCAATAACAAAGTGTGTGAGAAATGATAATATGCCATATGTGCGACATTGACAGTCAGTAACAAAATGTGTGGGAATGATAATATACCATATATACAAAATTAGCAGTCACTACCAAAATGCGTGAGAATGATAATATACAAAATTAGCAGTCAATACCAAAATGTGTGAGAATGATAACATACCATATATGCAAGTTTAAACAGTCAATACCAAAATATGTGGGATCCTATCACCTCCCCCCGTAAAGAGTGTAGGACTTGCTTTTTGGATCTATTTGAAAAGGTTTCGGAGCTCTTCTTTGTCGAGTTGACCTTTGCGTGGTACTGGATAGAGCGTGATCTGTGTGTCTGACACATAACTGTCCTTTTTCATTCGTACGATAATGCAGCAAGAATTTATCCAAAATTTTTCTGTTGTTCCCTCCCCCTTCGCTTTTGCATAAGCACGCTTAAAGGTGTCGACGAAACGTTCAGTCTGTCCATTCGATTGGGGATGATACGGGGGGCTACGAATATGCTGGATGCCAAACAGTTTGCAGCAACCAAGTTTGTCCTGGAAGACAGAAGCGTGCTTTTGACGACGGCGTTGCAAGAGAGATTGATCAGATACATCTCCGGGAACAACGTTGTGTGGTGAAGACGAAACATTAGAGCATACTGAATTTAATGGTACATTAAAGATATGGAGCTTGTCTAACCAGTCAAGACCAAGCAAATCCAAATCATGGTAGTTTGTAACGTAACATACACCATTGAAGTGATGCTCACCAAACTGAACCTGGCAATTGATCTCACCCACGAGTTTCAGTATATCTCCAGAGACATTCTTGGCGACATGCTCGGTCGGCAGAATCTGTGGGCAACCAAGTTTGCGCCACGTAGTTCGGGAAATTACGGTGATATCTGATGCCGTATCCAACTGAAGACGAATACGTTTGCCGTTAATATCTAGTGTTATGTACTTACGTTTGCTGGCGAACTCGACTTTGGAAGTAGTGAAAACGGTCTGTACTCGAGGAGATTGTTTCGGCTTGAAACGACTACTTCTGTTCCTCACCGAAGGATTTTTCTGCGGTGTACAGTAACCCTCCTTATGTCCAAAACGGTGACAATTACGGCATTTATGCTTCTTGAAAGGACAGAACTTGACAAAATGCCACGAACCACAGTGCCAGCACACTGAAGGAGGTTTAGCTGAATTTTGAGACTGACGTTCTGTGTGCTTAACGGTGATCGGAGGACTTTTCACTGTGTTAATCGAACCAAATTCAGACGACTGTCGTTTGCACTCCACCATAGCAGTATCGTGCTTCAAGTTGATTAAACGTAGGCATTCTGCTGTCACCATTTGTAAAGTCATTTTCGGGTCTTGTTCCACAAGTGACAGAAGTCGAGTTCGTATGTCAGTATCTTCTGGGTTCTTCAACCCACAAATAAAAATCAAACACTTGAACTGATCTGATGTCATTTCGTGTGGTTTGAACCTTTCACATTCCTTGTTCACTTTGCCAGCGTAAGTCACATAATCATCGGAAGGCATTTTTGTCAACTGAAAACATTGATACCGAATATTAAACATGGATGACTGTTCACCAAAGATTTGTGATAAAACGGTGACTGTCTCATCGAATGATAACTCACGTGGGTTCTTAGGCAGAATGAAGTTAACATATCTGTTGTGCTCAACAGTACCAAGTTTTCTTAGTAACAATCGGACTTTGGCAGCATCATCAAACATGTAGCATTCAATACGGAAAACGTCTTCGTAACGATTGAACCATGCATCAAATACGAGACCAGATATTGGGTCGTAGTTGAACTCACTGATGGAATTTGAGATGCTTTCATATTTGTCAGAATGAGATGTTGATGGAACTTGAATGGACAGCTTCTGAGTGAGAGCTTCGATTAATTTTAGTTGAGCTGCTTCATTCTGAACTTGCTGCTGCTGCAAGATAGATTTGAGATCGTCCAGAGAGATAGACATTGTAATTGGGTTGTAATTAACACAGTCAAAAATGTTATATAGCTGCGCTGAACAGAATAAAAACTGTCGTCGTTTGCTTGCTATAACTGCGATGAATTAAGTAAAACCCCGTCGCCAATTTGTTATAACTGCACTGAATTAAGGTAAAACCCCGTCGCCAATTTGTTATAACTGTAGGGAATTGAATGAAGACGTTTTCACCTTATTCTGTCTGCGCCTGAACTAATCTGTCTATCTGCTTGTCGTACCTTCCGACTTAGTAAAGCACGCAAATATCAAAAGACAAAGGCTGGACTGTGACTGTGTATTGAAGTGCAACAACGATAAAGAAAGCCATGGTATTTATACATTTTACAACAATATGGACAGCTAACAGCATTTGAAATAATTGACCTTAATAGCCAATAACAAAGTGTGTGAGAAATGATAATATGCCATATGTGCGACATTGACAGTCAGTAACAAAATGTGTGGGAATGATAATATACCATATATACAAAATTAGCAGTCACTACCAAAATGCGTGAGAATGATAATATACAAAATTAGCAGTCAATACCAAAATGTGTGAGAATGATAACATACCATATATGCAAGTTTAAACAGTCAATACCAAAATATGTGGGATCCTATCACTGTGGATATTTATTTTCTTGCAGTGTGAGTTTTAGTTTATGCATTTCTTCCTTAATGCATTCCTCTGAGCATATTCGTTTTATTCTGTAGCTAAGACACTTAAATAAGTTTCTTTTATGCTGAATCGGTGTGAAACTATGGAAATGGGTGTACTGACCCGTCCAAGTTTTCTTTCTAAATAATTTCCTTTGTAGATATCCGTCTGTCTTCATGGTAAGTAGGACGTCTAGGAAAGGTAAACTGTTATTGTCTTCTTCTTCACATGTAATATATACATGTATATATATACACACATCATTAAATTAAATTATTTCATCTCATTTTGTCCCATGTTGTTATTGTCCATGCATATTAAAAAACTATACGACTATATGACTATTGTTTCATCCCATCTTGTACTTGTTCCACAATACACTTTCTGATATGATTCTAATTCGCCTTTACTGGCTATTGTATGCTCAAATTAATGGATTTATAATTGTAGAGCCTGAAGAGGGAAGAATTTATTGAAACCACACAGTTGTGCGCTCTAAATAAATATTTTGTTCTGAATAAATTATGGGAATATTTAATTCATAGTTGATTTGCAAGGATTAGTTCTGTATGAGTGTGTGTGTGTGTGTATGTTATTTGTCATATGGAAAATACGTGAATTCATATGTGATAAACATGACAATACACTTTTTAAAAAGTCATGGAGGCTCATACAGTGTATGTTGTTTTTTCATCTGTCTTGCTTCATTAGAGTTTGTCATATAGTTGATAAGTCTATCCATTCTTTCCTATTTACTGCATTCGCTGTGGTTAAAATGTATAAGGCTTCAGAGGTCAGCCTTTCTCTATGTGAAGGAAATCCTCTTCCAAGAATTTCGACTAAATGTAAGTCTGCTAATCAGGAACATTTTGGACTTGTGATTTAATATCAGTTAGGAAGTTAAGTTTTCAAGTTATTTAGTGATTACGTTTCATGGTTTACCCGCTTATGATCTTGTAATTTTCCATTAAACAATCTAGTTTCTGGGTCAGTAAGCTAATCTTCAAATGGCTGAACTAGGCTTTCGAGAAAGTTCAGTGCTGTTATGTAACACTGTTAGATTAAGATACAGCTCGATGTAGTCATCCACGTATTTATGAAGTTCTTCATTGCCCTGGATACAGAACTTTGCCAACCGCCGGGACAAGCTGGCTGGATTCAGGAAAGGCAAATCATGTGCTGATCGAATTGCTACTCTACGCATCGTCATCTCAGAACAAGGCAGAGAATGGCAGTCAGACATCTAGTTTTTAACATCATCAATTTCGAAAAGGTCCTCACCGGACGGCATTGCCTGAGAAGTAATTTGGAAATCCCTTCAACATTATGGCGTGCAGTGCTCGAATCTTTATCAACCTCATTCAACAGTTGGCTATATCACAACGTCAATTATCAGGTGGGGAGTTCAAATTGAAGACAGGAGTAAGACAAGGCTACCTGCCTATTATCACCAACAATGATGTTATTAATTGTGATGGAGCGGATTATGCAGAAGACTGTCCGCTGGGAGTGAGAAGACAGGAATACGTTGCACTGACCAATAAGGAGACTCCAGAAGATCTGGATTTCTCGTGTGGATGATATGTGTTTAGTGTTATACAAGCTCAAAGATTTGCAGGCAGGCAGACAGGCAGACGAAAAATGGCAACAAACTGGTAAGAGAGGCTGGCTAGCAGTGAAGATAGGACTCCAGATGAAAATGTCAAACTGATAGGATCCCACATATTTTGGTATTGACTGTTTAATCTTGCATATATGGTATGTTATCATTCTCACACATTTTGGTATTTACTGTTAATCTTGTATATATGGTATATTATCATTCTCACACATTTTGTTACTGACTGTCAATGTCGCACATATGGTATATTATCATCTCTCACGCACTTTGTTATTGGCTATTAAGATAAATTATTTCAAATGCTGTTAGCTGTCCATATTGTTGTAAAATGTATAAATACCATGGCTTTCTTTGTCGTTGTTGCACTTCAATACACAGTCACAGTCCAGCCTTTGTCTTTTGATATTTACGTGCTTTACATAATCTGAAGGTACGACAAGCAGATAGGCAGATTAGTTCAGGCGCAGACAGAGCAAGGTGAAAACGTCTTCATTCAATTCCCTACAGTTATAACACAAACCCAGACAGCAAGCCAGCCAGTCAGAATCAGGGAGGCGAGACACGTACACACACACACCTTCATCAACCTGAAAGCTGCTTGGAAATCTTCTGCACTGCACTCCACCTCAGCTTCAGCACAAAGAACGAGATTTGGATTGTGTTCAACACAAATTTCAGTGAAGTCAGTCAGTCAGTCGGTCAATTCTTCTATATGGGTCAGATACCTGGCTGGCGTATCACGAAAAAGGCTTCCAACAGCCAGTCGCAGACTTTTACCATTCTCTGGCTGGCTGCATACTGAAGAAGAAGTAGACGACTGGCTGGCTGGTGATAAATAATTAGCAAGAAGAAACTCTGGCTGGCTGGCTTGCTGTCTGAGAACAAACCAACCAACCAAGATCCTATTGCTCAACAAATATGTGAGAGAAAGTGGAGATGGATGTATCGGGTACAAGTTGAGGAGGCCATCGAATGACATGGCATTCTAGATACACCTTGGAGTGGAATCCCAACAGGAAAGGGTTGGCAATTGTGGATCCAACCGAAGAGGACGGCAGAGAATAGAACAAAGTGGAGATGTATTGTTGAAGTTCTATGTGCCAATGCGGAAATCACGGGAATGATACTATAATCACAGAGTTATTTCTTATTCTCAGTAATCTGCTAACAAAGTAGACCGTGAAATAAATTGAGTGTTTCTAGTGTTATATACTTTGATTTAAATGTAGTATAACACAAAGCGTGTAGCTCTAATGCTTAGATTACAGTCCCTGTGTGTTTTAATTGTTTCGACTGCAACGATATATATATTTTTTCATGCTGTTTTATTATTTACCTCAGCCTAATAGATCCATGTGAGGCGTCTAACAATTCCATGACAGGATTGTGTTTAGATGCAGTGCTGGAAATTATTCAAGCCGGTCAGGTAGCTGTCTTCGAGGCAGATTATCATGTGAGTTATCACCTCATGATTGTTGCTTTTCCAAGTATTCTTTTCCACATAACTAAATCAGATAAGTGCGTCGGTGGCATAGCGGTTAGCGGCACGGTCGCCGACCATGCACATGGTCTGGGATTCGAACCCCGGCCACCGACGAGGCACTCCTTTACCTCGCTAAGCCAGTAATACAGGTGGTAAAGAGGAAAGGTTGGGCATGAGGCTAGCAATCCCATCCTGTAAAAAATACAATCACCACTGTACAGAAACTTCAAGCCGGCTCTAGCGTGAAGCCTGACGATGTTCCACTGGGAACATAAAGGAATAAAATGTCAGATAAAGACAGACTATTTGGGACTAATCAATAATATTATCGCTTTATAAATTTATCCCCCTTTATGAATTTGAATAAAGCAAGAACAACAGTTTTTGCAGAATAAAATGATACCATCATTGCTTATTTCTTTGGCTTTGTATCAGCTCAAATGCTTACAGCCTAAATAAATTATTAAGTATATCTACAGAAACAATTTTGACATACTTACACAGGAAGTTCATTTTAGAAATTTACTACACGCATAAAATGCTAACAATAATAATAATAAACATCTTATCCCAAACAACAATAATAAACATCCACAAATGGAATTTTTCAGCATTACGTAATCAGATGAAAGAGAGGATGAAAATGTCCAGTTAATAAGCAGAGCAAAGAAAGACTGATAACCGCTTCTTTATGAATGCATAAATCAGGTTTCAGGCGCTTGATGGAGATTGCTTCGGCAAACTTTAATAATAATAATTCACTTTATTCCAAAAACAGTACTTGTAATACAGAATGGAATTCTCAGCATTTGTCACAACACCTTACATCTGATTTACTTAAAATATAAAGAAAATTAAAAATTGAAACAGAAGTAACCAGAGGAATTTGTCCACGTTCACGATATAAAGTCAAAAATATTCGAAGCACGAATTGAGATCACTAAATATAATAATAATAATTATTATTAAGGTGCGGGTAAAGTGGATGCTCACGGTCTGACAAAACTCCTTCAGCAAATTTGTTGCATGACATCAAATGCCTATCAGTGCAAAAGTCAACGATGAATGTCAACGAGAATTGAACTCTTCTGCCTGTTGATAATTTTGAACGATCTTGTGATGTCCACCTGATGACTCATGTCAAGGAGATGCCTGGTGATGGCACTATTAAAAGCACTTGTTCCCTTTAGAAATAGGGTTTTTGATACATGTTCAGAAAATCGGAGGTATACCTTCTATTCTTCCAATGTAACTGCTGCCGCAGATACATGTAAATTTGTATTCACAGTTGGAGTTAACACGAGAAGGATATCTGTAGACTTTTGACTGAACCAAAGAACAAGTTGTTCGATGGATGGGACCAGATTAGCTGTAGGATAAGCTCTGGCTAGTGACGTCCTCAATCTTCTGTTGACAAATGCTTGAATAAATTTTATCTTTAAAATCAAGTCAACTTTACCTATGGGTTACAATTAATTATTTAAAGTTATGCCTTGAACTGGCTAAGACTTTTGAAAGGTCATTCCCTAAAATTTAATGTTAAGAACAGTATACGAGAACTATGCTAGGGTCTTTCTCCAGTTGGTAGTCCTTGTCATTTCTCACTCGATTGACTGATGTCATCTAATTTCGTGAACCAATCGGCTTACAAAAATATAGGATTCAGAAAGACTTAATGCATTCCTTGTGAGCATTCTAACTCCTCTCTTACACACAGTTGAAAGTTGGAGAACTGAAACAAATAATTCAGCTCAACGCACACAATGATTAGGTGTTATGGAAGTAATTGCCATTATTATATTATTATTATTTCCTTTAATTCCTACAGGAACATAGGGCTTCAGCCGCGCGTCACCATTGCGTTCAGTTCTCTGCCAACGTTTTCATCCCGCTCCAAGTCTGCCCACATGCTTTCATCTCCTCCTCACATGACCTCCTCCAAGTCACCCCACCTTGGCACTGACGACCAACTCGCCGCTTCCCATTTAGGTTCCACTCAAACTATGGCTTGTCTAGTGATGTCACTTGATGGTTTCCTCAGAGTATGGCCGGCCAATCCATCTCCATTTTTTCCTGCCTATTTGTTGCACAATCGGTTCCTGCTGGGTTTGTTCGCTCATTTCCAAAGATCCCAGTTTCTGATCTTCCCTGGCCAGCTATCTGATCTTGAGTATTGAGCGAAGATAGCTGTTGATGAAGGTCTGAAGTTTGTTTGAGATGCTCGTTATGAGGCGTCAAATCTCTGATCCGTATGTTAAGTAGCACTGATTTCACATTGAAGTTGGATATCCGGATCATATTTTTGATGCTGAGCAGTGCTGTTGATCTCCACACAGACTTGAGAGCAATGAGAGCTTGTCTTGCTTTCCTGATGTTCCTCGCTTCAATATCCTCATCAATTCCACTGACTGCAGTTGAAACGATGCTTCCCATGTCGGCATGTAAATGAGGTTGTTTCTTTCGGGTTCCTCCTATTTATGCTGGCTGATTGTTGTCTGTTGTTGTTACTGTTGGTGTTGGCCAGGAATCTTCATCACCTCTGTTTTCTCTATGTTCACCTGAAGTCCTATCTCCTCTGGATGCTTCTTCTGACGACTTGTTGCTTTTCACTTGCATATCTTCCGGTTTGTGTGAAATCAGACATATATGATCGGTGAAGTCCAGATCTTCCAAGTTCTGTTTTTGTGTGGGTCCATTTTATGCTTGTTTGTTTTCATTGCCCGTTGTCTGTCGCATTATACAATCTACTGCAATCAGGAAAATCATAGGCGATAGTAGACAGCCTTGCCTCACTCCCGTCTTCACTTCTAAGGATTCCGTGAGTTTCCGTGGTGGACTACTTGACATGTAGCATTGTCGTACAACTATTGGATGAGGCATATAATTGTCGGCAGCACCCCGTAGTAGCGAAGTAGTTGCCATAACTAATTTATTTATTTACTTAATGATTGATTCTTATGTTCTTATAGTTAGTTATTGTTCCCATCTTATCCTCTATTAAAATTCGTCCATGAACTGCTTGCCTTTCTGAATTTCCAGAGACTACTGACATCAGCCGTAGTTTTAATATTTTCTTTATCATTAACTATCATCACTGATGAAATGACTGAGATTTTTAGCTCAAGTGGATGTGTTTGATGTTGTTATGTCCGCTGAACTGTACGGTTTAATTACAAAGCCTTCATTATTTTCCTAGACAACATCTTCAGGGTCAAAATTAATGTGAAACAAGTTTTTGAAGTTTTTCATGCATAAAATATCTATCTTTTCTGGTGACCGTTATTGTAATTAGTTGTCTCTGAAGATTTTCTTAGAATTATATCCATTTGTATTGATATTGATCGTGTCGTTGAGCTGATATCTAACCTTTGGTTCGTGTGACCTATTCCTTATTGATTGATAAACCTTATCAGTGTTTATATGACTCTTGGTTGTGAACCGATCTGACAGCTGAACTACTATGAGTTTGCTTGTTTTCTTCATGTTCCTTTGGTCTAAAGTTTTTACATTTTCCCAGTCAAAATTATATTCTTTAGTTTTCAACACAAGTTGATACAGATGAGTGGTCCAGTGGTTAACGCTTTGTCGTTTGAAACTCTGGGCACTGGCTTTTTGCCTCGGTGGGAACACCATCACTCGCTGGGGGATGCAGCTGCATCTGGACAACGAGTCCCGAATAGGACGAAATGTACATCCTGGATTCCACGGCTAGTCACCATCCACCATATGAGTGTATGCTTCAAATCATGGCTGCGAAGATAAAGGGGTATCACTTTAAACTAGTATGATGTTTCTTTTTGCAGCGGAGGCAATCTGTGCTGTGAGTGAGGTTGACTTTATCTAATTCTTCTTTTGGATCTCTTGGCCTGCCTAGTATGGAGTAAAAGGAGACTTGGTCGGTTTGTGGGCCATAAGCAGTTAAGTCTTCTATCAAATAGTCACTGAATATATAATTGCGATAATTTTGATATATTCTGCTTCGATTCTTATAGTATCATTTCTTGACAGTGAAGAAGTGGAGAGCATGGAGTGTTTAAACAACCCTGGAATGAAACAATACGATACGCTGCTTGTAAAGGTTATTGGATTGATGATACGAGCTTGGCAGATTTTTGATCACAAATAGTTTTGTAGTGTTATGTACTCGTCGATTAGTTAATAGTCCTTACGCGGAAAGAGGGAAATCAAAAGACCACCAGGTTTACGATGATACTTGTATTTTCCAGACAAAGATAATAAATGTCACATCAGTGTGTGAGTGGAAGGGTACTTAGATGAACGAAAAAGTGTGTGAACAAGAATGTATATGAGTGTACATTACAAAAGTATATATGAAAATGACTAATACACATGAACCAATAAATAGACAGTCTTAACATGATTGGTTGTAATGTTATATGACAACAAGGCCATATATGTTTATTTGGTTAGTGGACAGAAAAGAGCATATTGTCAGTTATAATGGAATATCGATCCATATACACATAGCAAAATATAATAGACTGTCAAAAACAAAACACACATCATGTGGATACATATCATGTAGCCTTTGTAACTTGAGGGCAGCAGAAGCACAGAGTTTATAATTTTTAGATAATGCCATGATTACCAGAGAAAGTTGGTAAGTCAAGCGTATCAATCTGCAATTTTTTCTGGAAACTAGACGTCGTTTATTAGCGATTCCATATAAGTTTGTCTACTAGATGTATCACACAGTTAGTGAAACAGTATTAGTATTTACTGGATGACACGGTTTCGAACAAAATTTAATATTGTTCATAATCATTTCATCAATTGTAATCACACAACTTCGAAACTTGAGTTTTATAGTTTTCTTTGTTCTCTCTCCTATTTGTCGTTGTAGGCGTGGTAGTAGAATTTTCCAGATATCTGGGTGGACAGGTGTTGAATCATTCCTATTACACGTATTCTCTCTCTCTCTTCTGTTATCAATCTCTTCCTCCACCTTGTTACATTGGATTTTAAAACTGTCATCTTATTCCACCCTTTTGTATGATCGGTTAAAGGATCAATCCTGTGGAGCCAATAAAACAAAACAATTTAGTTTGTCTAATACCCTGCTGGAATGATTGTCAGATGAAATATATAGGTTGAAGTAGTAGAACGGCATCAGTCAGCCAGACTAGCGGAACAGCCGAAAAACCTAGCAAAATGTAGATTAGTTGATAGATAAGAAATCTAGAGAGTAGTTCAGTAATTACGTACAAACCATACAATAGGATGGATGGGATAAGATGACAGTGATTCTAAATCTAATGTCACACGGTGGAGGAAGAGATTGATAACAGAAGAAGAGAGAGAATACGTGTAATAGGAATGATTCAACACCTCTCCACCTAAATATCTGGAGAATTCTACTACCACGGCTACGACGACAAATAGGAGTGGACAACGAAAACTATAAAATTCAAGTTTTGAAGTTGTGTGATTACAATTGATGAAATGATTATGAACCACAATAAATTTTGTTCGAAACATTGTCATCCAGTAAATAATAATACTGTTTTACTCACAGTGTGATACATCTAGTAAACAAACTAAAATGGAATTACTTATTACTACAGTGTCTAAGTCACATATATATAAGTGTGGTTTATCAGTGGTTTGGAATCAGGAATTCTGAACTTCCACATACACACACACAGCCGAGAAAGTGTAGAACTGAATTGTGCTTTTGCTGCTCACAGGACAAAAAGTAATTCAAGAGAGAGAGAGAGATGGATATTTTAATGAAAACGATGGTAGGTACTGGTGGAGATTTCACAAGCAAGTTTGGAAGGCGATTTAAAAAGAGATAATAAATCATCGCATTCTGGTGCCTGTTATCAATTTAAAGCCATCTGACATAGTTTTTAGACGACTATTGAACTAAGACGAAAAAGCTGTCTAGTACTCCTAGGTGGTATTCCAATGGTTCTCTGACATATATCAACTCATGATAAAATCCTCCAATCACTACAGAAGAGTTTAGCCATGTCTTATTCTGTCCTATTCGGATAGAGGCAGCAGTTTGCCATTTCATGGATTTTTCTCCACCTCATTCTGACATGGTAGTAGACGAGCGACTTGGTCAGAGAATGTTTAATTGGAAACTGGTATCTTTATATAGCCAAATTATGCATAATTTATATTCAGCGCACCGTTTGCACAGATTTTTGGTGTTGTGGTATTTCTGGACTTCATGTTGTGTTTCTTTGTGTTCCTTTCACGTCATCGTCTCCCATGTATCTCCACAACACTGTATGATTCGCCTTCTCCGAAATCAAATATATCTCCCTTTTATTTGCTGTTTTTATGCCAATGAACGTTTCACTACCTATACTACTGATAAATCTTATGAGTAACACTCGCCACAATACATACTGTTATCAGCCTAATTGTGGTATGATATTTCGTTAGACTTCAAGCATAAGTTAAATGTCATGCACAGATGTCATTTGTTCTTCTTCTTCTTCTTCCAGAATTTGGTATCACTCAGATCGTCAACACTGAAACCATTCATAATATTTGTTAAACCGCCAACATTAGACGTCTTACTGGAAACTCGACAGTCTTATAAAACCGGTACACCAGTACACAATGACGCAAATTCAACAACAGAATCATCACCAACTCGTTCTGTACCAACAACTCCATATATGACCAATCGTACAATAACTGGTTGTTTCGCTCCTGTAACAAGAAATCGTTACAGTTGGAAGAAAACTTCTAGTGAGTTGAATCAAGAAGAAAAAGTGTCTGTATCGTCATCTATGGACAATATACTTGCTATGGATGTGCAGAAGAAGATGTCACTTTCTGTAAGTGGATTCCATACCTTTTCCTTCAACGTAAATTGTATGCTGTACATGGTACTGAGGAATTTTCTGTAGAGTCTTATTATTGTTATATTATTGTCCCCTTGAGTTCCTAGTGGAACATAGGGCTTCAACTGCACATCTCCACTTGATTCTGTCTTCTGCTGTGCTTTTCACATGCATCCATGTTAGTCCATATTGTTTCAATTCCTCAACTCTTCACACGATTTCCTCCATGTCAACCTTGCACTGACGTTTCACTCACCGCGTGCTTCCCTTTTGGCCTGGTTCCACTCGAGCAATTGCCTGACGCGCACGAGATGTCACCCAGCGGCCTCCTCAGAGAGTGTCCATCTCCATCCATCTCCACTTTCTCCTGCATATATGTTGGTTGGCGATTGGTTCTTGTTTTGTTCGCTCCCATAGTTTCTTGTTGGTGATTGTTTCCGTCCCGGCCCGCCCATCCGATCTTCAGCATAGAGCGAAGACAGATGTTGATAAAGATCTGGTCTGCAACAGGCTGTTGGTGGAAATATTCTTTGTGACCTGCCCGCTAAGTTTCTGATCCGTATAGAAGAACTGACTGACTTGACGTTTGTATTGAAGATCCGAGCGAATTTTGTTGTTGATGCTGGCTGAGTGAGGAAGATTTCCAGATTGGTTTCAGGTTGATGAGTGTGTTTCTCGTCCCCCCTTCCCGATTCTCGATTTGACATCCTCTTCCGTTCCGACTGGCTGTAGTTGAGACAATGCTCCCTAGATAAGTGAAGTGAATGAAGTAACTTCTTTCAAATCCCTCCCGTTGATGATGATTGGCGCTGGATGTTCCTGCTGTCATTGTTGTTGTTGTTGTTGGTTGGTTGGTTGGTTAATTTCATAACCTCCGTCTTGTCTATGTTCATCACCTGGAGTCCTGTCTTCGCCGGCTGCTTCTTCGACCAGTTTGTCGGTTTTCGCTTGTAAGTCTTCGATTTCGTGTGTGTGACATCAAACATAAATCATCCACGCGCGAAATCCAAATCTTCTAAGTTCTTCACGTCGGTCCAGGATATCACTGTCTTCTCGTTTCCCACTCACTGTCTGACGCATAATCCAGTCCACCACAGTTAGAAATACTATTGGTGATAATGAGCACCCTTGTCTGACTGCTGTGTTTACTCCAAACGCCTCTCTGAGTTTTCCGTTGTGGCCACATTGTAGAGTCTTATACAAATATATTATTGAAGGCTAGGAGATAACTGAAAATACAAAAATTTGAAAAAGTGCATAACAAGGGACAGAATAATTATTTTTTTTATTTTTCATTACAGCTTGATTCCACACTGTATTTTTGGTACAAGTGTGGAATTTTCTGCGTGGATATCGGCAGCCCAAATTTTGCAGGCCGATAATAGATATCAGGTGTGCGTCGGCAGGGGATCGAACCTCGGACCATGTGCATGATCGGCGAGAGTCCTAACCACTGTGCCACCGACGCACACACACATGAAGATTAGTGAAGGCGCCTAGAATTCTGAGTGACATGAGATCACTGCCTCAAGACCGTTCAACCTTTGATTCTGTACATTTTTACATTCAATCACACACACACACTATAGTCTCAACACATACAGCGGGTGTTACAACAACACGGAGGACTAGAAATCTATATATTCTTTCTATGACTTCTGCCTTCAGATGTCATGTCTGACTGACGTAAGTAGACCCAATCTTAGGTCTTTTTCGATTCATTTCAAAATGGATTAGAACTGTTCTGTTTACTTCTCATGGATTGATTTCTGCAATTCAACAACTAACGTAATAGAACTATGTGGAGTCACTCAATCTGACAATCAAATGTTAAACTTGATCGAAATTCAAGGGTCAGGTAGATTTCTACATAGCACACGTAAGGCAGTTTATGAATCATAGATTATCTTAGATTAATAACATGACTACTAATCAGTGTTATATCTTTCTTTGTAAATCAATAAAACCAATACATTATGTATGTTAAACTGCAATAGCAGAGAAGATTTGTACCTCAGGATGAATGCATTGAATAACTTTCACGGTTTTATAACCTGTGTATTTGTCGTAAACCTGACCGGTACACTCCTTTCCCATTTGTATTTATTATTTACAGGAGACACAACTTCATGAAATGATTCAAACAGCAGCTCGTTTAGAAGTAACTCATGGTCATCTATGGGATTTCGTATTAGTCAACGACGACCTACCCGTTGCATTGGAACAATTATCTGAAATGGCCTATCGGATTGAAACAGAGGCATTTTGGGTGCCAAGAATTTGGTTGAATTCAACAACTGATTACTACAGCTCAGAGAACAATCGATCCTGTGCTGATGCAGCTGTAGACACAATGTGTACAACTGTTGTTCAGTGAAACCCCCCTCCCTCCCCTCCAAACAAAAACAATAACAACCAACCAACCAACCGACAAACAATAACAAAACAACTATCAATCCCATTACCAACTCTTTCTACTGAATGTCATCAGTTAATTGTGCGTATGTAAATGCTGACGTATACACACTTTGGGGATTCTTTAGGTATTTTCGATAAATAAACTACGGACAAGCGCTGTTATCACCAAAGTGTTTTTTCTGTCACTCGTAAAAAAAGCTAATCTTTCAGTCATCATTTTTTTGATTACCTGGCAAAATGATTTCGAAATAATATTTGCAGTGAATTGATTTCTTTTAAACTTTTATTATTATTTTATTTGTTTTTCAATCTGTTTTTTTAATGAATAACCATTGAACTGAAGTTCTCAATAATCATTGCTTTATTGCATTATTTCACAGTCTTAAATGTTATTGGTTGTTGTGTTGAAGTGAAGAGTAATGAATGAATATACAACTTGTATGTTAAGGTATCACGCTTACTGTGAATGATGGATCACGCAGTAGTCACTGTTGGTTACATTAGATGGGTTTGTTTGTTGTACATAAATAAATAGATAAATTTTTGCTTTATTCCAAAAACAGTACTAATGATACAGCAAGGAATTTTCAGCATTCAGTACAATATTGCATCTAATTTACTCAAAAACGACAAAAAATTATAAATACACATTACATAATAATAATAATAAAACGATTGTTACAGCAGCTACATAGCAAAATACCGTATGCAATACGGTGAGAAGTATGCATAAAGTACAAAATTGTAGTAATAATAGTAATACAAACTAATATAAAATAGCAGAGTAATAATTAAACGATAGAAAGTGACACCATAAAATACAGAAAGATGAACTATGAAAGGGTCGATTCACTGTGCTAATTACATAGTGACTTCTTGTAAGTTTCACGTCTAACAGAGTCTTCGTCACATAAAGTACGGGCCAAATAGAGTATTGTAGAATTTCTATACTTAGTGATACGAGCATATAACTTTTTTTATTGACTTCTCGTCCTACCTGATGAGATACAAGGGGATAGGTGTGAATAAAGGGGGTGCAGAGGGTCTGACAGTATAGCCTTTGCCCATTTCACACAGGAATTTATATGCCTCTCGACTATAGTATTAGCGAGCTCATGCAGTGGCAGACCACAAGCCCTACTCACAGCATTTAATACTCTTCGTAATATGATATATAATCTTTTTTGAGAAACCCAGGAAAGATAAATGGAGAGCAATAGAGTACAATAGGTAAAATACAGGAGTTTTAAAATTGCAAAACTAAAGGTTGGTTGATACCTGATTGTCCTAACTTTTAATGTAGAAGGTAAGACGAAATATTTTCTTAGAGATAGATAAGATATGGGATGACCATGAAAGGTGAGAGGAAAGAACTAATCCAAGGTATTTAATGCTTGACTTGGTTTCAATTTCCGTGCCATCTATGCTACAGGCATCATGCGAACTAACAAGTTCATGTAAGTCCCGTCGATGCTTGAAAGTAAAGTCAAGTGCCTGACATTTGGAAGGATTTAACAGAAGACCATTTGACTTAGACCAGTTGTTGATGTCCAACAGAAAGCTATTAAGTTTGGAGCTGTCAGACTCGGAAGTGATAGGCAGTGAGTGATACAGTCAGATCATCTGCATATTTGACAAAGTTAGTTTCGTTTGAATGGGGCAGGTCGTGTAGGAAGAAAGAAAAAAGAAAAGGAGAGAGGACAGCACCTTGAGGAACACCGGATTTTGTAACCGAGGTAGAAGACGATTTGCCGTTATATACAGTATACTGCATTCTATCAGAAAAATAGGAGTGCAACCAACTCTTAGCCCAGGATCCTGTTTGTGTCAACGATAGCTTATTTAGCAAAAGGCCCCTAGGTACATAGTCAAAAGCAGATGTGTAGTCTAAGAAAGCACTACGAACATATTTAGCACCTTTGTCTAAACAAGAGACAACATTGTGATATAAGACAACTTGAATTAAATTCCGTCTAGTGATTGATAATGATATAAGACATGTTGGTAGTTGATTCAAAAGACATAAGATTACGAGTGAACTAATATTTGCACAAACTAATGCCTACGTATTTTATGCTTTCATCTGTGTAGAGTACACCTAATCTGTCATTAAAGGTGTACACTGATAAAAACTTTGGATACTGTTGGGAGTTTTCGAGTTATTGGTGTTCTTTGAACTGGTTGGTTCAACTACGAAGTTTTTATCGTCCTGCTGGACAACATACCCTGTAAGTGCAAGTTTTAGCATAAAGTAAACTGACTTAAATTCTCCATGAATGATAGAATTGTGCGTCTCCTGGCTAATATCTTCGTGACTGGTAGTCAACTTACATCTCTACTGATCATTTTCCATTGACTTGGAATTTGAAGTTTCTTGTCACATGATTTACTTTTTATTCCTCATGGAAAATTCCCATTGTTATATATAGAAAATCAAAACAAGTGATTATCAGCGAAGAGACTCATTTCAACAACGAATTTATCATCAAGCTATACAGTCGTATACATATATGTATATAATATGTATATAAATATATATATATATAATATATATATATATATATATATATATGGTTTTTAAGATGTTGTATCCTGTGTGGGAATTCAATCATAGCTGTGAATGCATAAAATAATAATAACGATTCTAATCACAAACATTTTAGTTTTAATTGAACTTCATGTGATTATTTTATGCATTCACACCTAAGATTCAATTCCCACACCGGATACAACTTCTTAAAAATCATATATATATATACGACTGAACAGCTTGATGGTAAATTCGTTGTTGAAATGATTCTCTTCGCTGAATAATCACTTGTTTTGATTTTTGAAGAAATAAAATAGACAGATTCAGCGAAGAAAATTCTCTTTCCTTTATCAACGAAATCATCTTCAGAGGCTGTATAGTCGTATTTATACTTAGATAATGTATAGTGATCTATTATTGAGTAATAGGGGGTGACATAATTGATAAAATTACTCAGAAGTGGCTTTAGAAGTGCAAATTAAAGGTTGTAAATTACGTGGTACTCAACAGCACAAAGATAGAAGTTTGATAAGGCTAAAATTGCTCTTGAGTGAGAATAAAGGTGGTAGTATACAATTGGTGGATGGTGGCTAGCAGTGGAATCCAGGATGCGCATTTCGTCCTATTTAGGACTCGTCAGCTGGATGTACCTGCATTTCTCAGTGAGTGATGATGTTCCCACCGAGAGTGATAATAGTGAATTAATTATTAAAGCAAAAGCAAATTAAAAATTAAGAACAAAAGAAAAAATCAAAAATTTTTTTTACAGGGAACGATTAGTGAAGAGGTTAAGACCAAAGTAGAATAAGAGACTGGACAAACGTTTTCTGTATACAGAGTTCAGGGTTGTATTGATGAACTGCCAGTGCCTCCGCCATACACAAAAGCCGAAACCTGACGCCCTTTGTACCACTCGGCTTCACTTTGTAGATGATGTTGAAAGACGAATCTGGTGGAGCTACTTGGCCTGAGTTCACCAAATGCTCGAGAATTGAGCTAGTAATTGTCTTGCATTGTCCCTTTGCTAACCATTCCGGATAATGTTCAGAGATGCGTTTGGAAAGCATGCGCTTTGTGCGGGCGGCCAATATAACTAGCTCCACACGACTATGTGAACTTATAAACACACATTGAAGTGGCCCGAAGCGGCAGTTTTTCCTCCACACATCCGTTGATCATTTGTCGGCTGTAGAAATTGATACGTAGCTCAGCCATAAAGAAGGCTTTCCTCAGTGATCTGCATAAGCGATTCTTCAAGATCTCAGCTGCAGTATCACCTTTAAATTCAACACTCATAAAGAGCAGTTTCTTCGGCACCGTCTGGATTCTTTCAGGCTTTTCTCTTAACTTCATGTTTTTCTCGATAAATCTTGGGGGATATCCATTCTCTATGAGAACTTGTCTTAGTCGCTCCAGCTCCCCATCAATTGTATCACTTGAACATATCCTCCTTATTCTTGAGGATAAGGAATGGATCAAATTTCTCTTTCTTCTTAAAAGGACCCAGCTATGGAAATTTGTGTACTGACCATTCCATGTTGGTTTCCTGTAGATCGATCTTTGAAGAGAACCATCAGATCTCCTCTTTAGAAAAAAATCCGAAAAATGGAATTGCAAGTTAATCTCTGATTCCGACGTGAACTTGATGGCATCATGACAACTGTTTAACTCCTTAGTTATCAATTCAATGTCGGTGTTGTCGTCACATATGATGAAAGTATCATCCGTGTATCTTTGGTACAGATGGAAACTGTCGATAGTAGGCCGTAAAATACTATTCTCCAAACTAGCCAAGAAGCAGTCTGCAAGTAAAGGACCCAATGGTGACGCCATTGCTACTCCATCTCTTTGTTTATAAATCGTGTTGTTGAACTTGAATTGGACATTTAGAGTGCACCTCAAAAGTAGTTCCTTTAAGTAGTGGATCAGAACACATATGTCTACACTATTATCCTCAATGAATTTGCATATAAAGCAGATAGTTTCAGTGAGGGGAACGTTGGTGAAAAGCGAAGTAACATCCATAGATATCATTTTCTTTCCAGGTACATTAGCATCACTTATTGAATCGACGAATTCAAACGAATCAGAAACACTATGCTTGCAGAGGTTATTTCTGATAGGTAGGAGGATTTCTGTGAGCCATTTGGCAGTAGCATGATATGGAGAATTTGTCATGTCCAAGATTGGACGTAGTGGCACGTTTTTTTGTGCACTTTCAGAAGACTTTATAAGCGGGAAATCACGGAACCAGAGGGTCGTATTTACTCGAATAATTCAGAGCTAATAATCGATTCGTTCTTCATATTTTTCAGCATTTGTGTTAACTTGCTTTTGATTTACTTTTACTTGTTTTGATTTACTTTTTATTAGCTGGTAGATTTGGTCTAGGTTAATATGTCTGTTAATCGTGATTCACTTGAATACTAGGCTACTAGTAATTCTTTGACTGCATTTTTGGTGTTTCCTCTCTCTAAGATTTTGATATTATCCCAATCAAATTGATGTCCATTATCGCCTACATACATTGTTAAGAGGGAATACATATCGTCTTTTCACATCTGATTTGTGTTTTTCGATTCGGATTCCAAGGGACACCCACTTTGTTGACCGATATAATGTCTGTTACAGTTCATACAATTTATTTTGTAAACGGTATTAATTTTATCATCCTTTCCTGTTGGATCTTTTGGTCTGCACAATATTGAATGAAGTGATTGTGCTGACTGGCTGGCTTGTGTTCTATATCTATTTCAAACGATCTTTGTTTTCTAGCTGTTATATCAGAGATATTTTTTAGATATGGAAGAATGAATTTTCTTGTGGTCTTTAATTTTGGCTTGCAGCTGGTGTTATCACTTCGATTTTAAACACTTTTTGATGAAATTTTGTGGATAACCATTCTTTTTGAAAACCGTTTGTAGGTAGTTTTCTTCCATTCTTTTCAACTTTGGAGTGCTACAGCTTGTCTGATCTCCCTTTTGAACAATGTCTGCACCCAGTTGCTTTTGTGAGTCATTGGGTTATTGCTACCATAATTAAGTATTTGATCTACGTGCGTTAATTTTCCGTAAACTTGTGACAAGAAACTTCAAATTCCAAGTCAATGGAAAATTGAGTGCATGGATAAACGACACACCAGTTTATCAACTTAATAAAGATACTCAGCTTCTGAGATAGGTAATTCGCTGCAAAATTGGACCAGGTGTACTCCTCAGTGTTAAGTCACTGATAAAATACAGTGTATAATTTTTAGCGTGTTATGCGGGATGTCGTTATTGCCACATAGATCTCTATTATAAATTTCACTTGGGTTATAATCACTAAGAAAAAGTCACAATGTCTGTCTGTATTCACAGCTTCAAAATGCATTTGCTGATTGGTTTTTACTAGGCATAAGTTTATGTTCAGGTTGCAGAGATACCACCTCACACCATTTTGTAAAATAGCCAATCATCACCAAGGTATATCGGTTACCGCTTTCGGAGCCTGGAAGTAGCCCCATTATATCTGTGCCGACCCACTGATTCGGTGATTGGGTTGGCATAGGTACAAAGAGTGCTCTAGGCGTTTGTGTAGGCTGCTTGTTGCGGCTACAGAGATCACAGTTTTGACAGAACCTGGTCACATCTCGCTGAAGCAACGGCCACCAGAAACGCTGAAAGGTGGCATGATCCGTTTTGTGTCGACCAGTGTGCCTCAGTTGGTGGTGAACCTGACTGATGAGCTCCTATACTTACACGTTGAGAACTAGGAGTCGTGGGTTGGAATTCAGTTCCACTATGTAGAGAACATCATTTATTAGTCCAAGCAGGCCCCATTTACCACAGATACACCGTGTAGCTGCTGGCAGATCTCGTAATTCCTTATGCATCAGTTTGTTGTTGCGTAGTTTTATCGTTAAAATAGACAGGTTGTATGTCTGCGTCCGCCACTTGTACGGAGACCTAGTCAATATTAGCTGCAGTACTGAGTAATACATTCACTGTGGTTTCAAAATTAGGCAGGCGTGAGGGGACATCGGCATTAGCATGTCGTTTTCCATGACGGTATTCACAAGTGAAATCAAACGCCTGTAGACGTTCTTGCCAGCGGGCGAGTTAGCCCTTTACATAACAAAAATTCTGCAACCACTGAAACGCCTTGTGATCAGTCCGGAACCGAAATTTTCGCCCCAACAAATAATGGCGAGAGTAAGTGAGAAAGTATACAAGAGCCAGCATCTCATAGAGAGTCATAGAATACCAGGTATCTTTCTTGTTTAGAGTCCGGTTAGCGTATGATATTACTTGCACCTGTCCGTCAGGCGTAATCTGTGAGAGGACAGCTCCTATCGCCTGTGCAGTGGCGTCAGTATCCAGAATAAAGAGCCGCTGTCAGCAAATGTATCTAGGAAGGCTTAAACAGAAGGAGAAATTAAACATGTTTTAGGCGTATTAAATGCCACCTGGCACTCGTTAGTCCAAGCGAATTTCCATCCCTTTTGCCATTAATCTATGAAGAGGGGCTGCTGTACTGCCAAATTTCAAAATAAACGACGGAAGTAAAAAGTAAGCCCTATGGAACTGCGTGCGTCCGCTGTCGATTTAGTAATAGGCCAGTTGAGGATCGTTTGTACTTTGCTTCCAAGTGTGCTAACTCCTTGTGGTGTAATCTCATGACCAAGGAAGGTAACACATTTCTGCAGGAAATGGCATTTCGAGGCTTTCGGTTTAAGATAAATCTCGCGTAAACATTCGAATGAGATTCAGAGGTTAGCATGGCGTTCTTCGAGGGACTGTCCGAACACGATGATGTCATCCAGGTAAATGAGGCATGAACTTTGTGTCAGGTGAACTACAACGTGAAATTCAACTAGGCGTTCGGAACGAATAGAGGAGTAAGACAAGGCCACGTGTCTGTTATCACCAACAATGATATTATAATTGTGATGGACTAAATTATGAGTCAGACTTTCCGTTGGGACTGAGAAGACAGGTATACGTTGTACGGCCGATAAGAACACTATAGAAGATCTGGATTTCGCGCGTGGATGATTTGTGTTTAATGTTACACAAACTCGAAGATTTGCAGACAGGCAGGTGAAAACTGGCAACAAACTGGGAAAAGAGGTTAGCTGGCTGGCTGGCAGGCAGCAAAGACAAGACTCCAGGTGAACAGAGAGCAGACATAGGTGATAAAGATAACCAACCAACCAAACAATCTACAACAGTAACAACAACCAGCACCAATCATATCAAGGAGAGATATGACAGAGGTTACCTTCTTCACTTGTCTCTCTAGACAGCATTGTTTCGACCACAAGCAGTCGGAAAAGATGAAGATGTCAAAGCCAGACAGCCAGCCAGTCAGAATCAGAAAGGCGAGACACACACACCTTCATCAATCTGAAACCAGTTTGGAAATCTTCCTCATTCCGCCTCAGCTTCAACACAAACAACGAGATTCGGAATGTGTTCAACACAAATTTCAGTGAGAAGTCAGTCAGTCGATCAATTCTTCTATATGAGTCAGACACGTGGCTAGCGTATCACGAGGATTATTTCCAACAGGTTTCAGACTTTTATCAACAGCTGCCCATCTCTTCAATGTCTGACTGAATACTGAAGATCAAATAGCCAGTCGGCTGGCTGGCTGGTGAGAAAGAATTGGCAAGAAGAAACTCTCGCTGGCTGGCTGGCTGGCTGTCTGGGAACAAATTAACCAACCGAAATCCGATTGCTCAACAGATATGTAGGAGAAAATGAATATGGATAGCGCACCCAATGCATGCCCTTGCTTGAGGGGAATCCGAATGGGGAGCGACGATTGGGTCGTTAGTGTGAGGTTGACAGTGGAGGAGATCGTGTGGCGAGGAGCTGAAGATAAGATAATGGGCAATCGTGTAGTCAGCCAGCTGAACACGAGGGCAGAAAGTAGAACAAAGTGGATATGTGCTGTTAAAGCGCTTTGTTCCACTCTGAACGCAAGGGAATAATAATAAATACAAAAATAATAATCATCATTATTATTATATTAATAATGGTAATAAAAACTTGATATCCTGTATGGTAGTAATTTTAATATTCAGTTTTTATCTAAATTTTAGAAGCAGAATACCAACAAGATGCTTTCTTTTAAAAAAAGTTACAAAGAGCAGCACAATATTTCCAAAAAAACGTTCTTCCAAGTTCAGTCACAAACTGAAAAAAGTTATACAACCATTGAACACCCGGAGTATACTGGACAGGGGTTCCGTCCTCGTCAACCTTACGCATTAATGACCACCCAACAGGAGGTGAAACACAAGATCTTCAGGTAGTAAGGCAAGCCCATTGATGATTTAGCCCTGCGGTAGAATTCAGTACTTCATGAATTCTAACTGTGAAGACAATCAAATCCCCAGTAAACTAACACTTGAAAACGTTTTTCCACCAAAAAAGTATCTTCATGCATAAAAAAGTGTTTATTCTTCTTTGCATTTCTGCCTCATGTTGGTCTACAGAATCCAACTTTAGAATGAATAACTGCACCTCAACACATTTGCGTAATTGTTTTTGCCGACACCAAAAGCCAGATCATCATCATCATCATCAGTACTAAGTAAGGGTTGACATGTAACTTCACATCTTATTGATTACAATAAAACTGTCGACAGTAGATGTGTAAATGTTTCTAATTTCGATGCAAGGACTGATACAGATATCCTTCCACCTTGTGTACTGAATAAACTCTCTTTGCAATTACGTCAGTTATCATGTAGGCTTAGTTTTAATAAAATGAATCGGTGGTTCACCAACGCTAATTTTCAAATGCAAAACTTGATGCATACGCCTGTCAATTGACTTGTTCCGGTTTTCATTTGTACGTTTACTTGTAGTAAACATTTTGATATTCGAGTCAATCAGTGTATAATTCAAACTGTTTATTCCGTCAAGACGATAACGAACTTTTGTGAATGATAATATTTGTGTTCTGAAATCATTTTAAAGAAAAAAGAGAAAGAAAAGACGATCAGTAGTAGTACATTTCTGTTTATTCGTCAGACAGTAGTAATTTTCACAGCAACATTCAAGAGTATATGTTCAAACCAAGTTCACTTTCAGGAAAAACGCTCGATTTACAAAAAGCCTAACTGGCTAGGGCGATACTTAAATTTTCACAGCTTCTGTCCATTACAACAGTATAACACGGGCCTGGTTAAGTGCTTATGCAAGAGGATTCAGCGTATTCGTACGGCTGAGTTTATAGAGAATGAAAATAAAATACTGATGGATACTTCCGATGTAAACAGATGCACAGGGCATTTGGTTTTGACCTTCTACAGTCTTTTCTGTCCCTAAGATAGAAATTTTCATCAAATTAACAAACAATGGGAAAGTAAATAGTAGCATTTTAAAACAGAGATGAAATTCAGTCATCGGTAAAACCTGTTATGCAGCTCAGCTGGTAATCATTGAAATAAACCAAAAAATATGCTCCATAACAAACCTGAAAAGTACACGAATGATTTTATCACATCCGACATTTTATACTAATTTACTTGTATGTGTAGGCACACTAAATAGGGAAGAGTAATACCACTTTGCATATGAGGGTTAGAAAGATAGATAAACTTTGGAAAATCTATAGACGCAGGTAGCAGGTTACCAACCTTGTCTATAGCTGAACGCCTAAACGATATGAACCACAAGATTGATATGGAAACAGTTTTTATGGTCATCTGTAGAAATGGCCAAGGGAGCTTGTTGAGATATGCTGAGGGTACAGCTATTCATAAACTTAAGGCCAAACCCACTCCCGCACCCCGTGTGTTCAAAAGCAACCTGTTATCACTCTTAAACTAAATTTTAGTTTGATTTATTTTGATGCCACGCCGTATTTTCGGTAAATTTATGGCATTTTCAGCATGTGATATCGGTAGCCCAAATTTTGCAGGTTGACCATAGATATCGGGTGTGCGTCGGCAGGGGGTCGAACCCCGAACCATGTGCATAGTCAGTGAGAGCCTTAACCACTGTGCCGCCGATGCTTGGTAATATTCACCTGATTGAATTACCAAACGTTGTGTTAAGTGTTCCTATTATTCTTAAATTCTTTTTGTCACTTTGCGTACTTCAGTTGCCGTTTATTGTTTTTATATATGCCGACTTGATAAGTGAATGTGTGCAAATACATTGCATCACGTTTTTCAGATAATCTTCGACGTCTAATAACACTATCGAAAATTTATAAAAGGCACTAACTGTTTCAAATCACTTTTAACAGTTTGAAAAATTCGGGCTTTGGGTATGTGATATTCATTCTCATAAAAGTTTTTGTATTTCCCAGTGAATGAATGAAAAAGCAAAACGATGTTGATATATTCACTAGCGCTTTTTTTTTAATGCTGCTAATAGCTTTCAAGTATTGTTTTTTTGTTGGGATTTTGTTTGATTGCTTGGTTGTAGGATTTCATCATGAGCTGACATCAGTTAGAGAACCACTTGGAAAACTACTTGGGAGCACTGAGCAGCTGTTTCCCTTGTCTTAGTTTAGGACTCGTTATCAGTACGCACCCAACGCAGGCGGTCGAACTCAGGACCTTCCTGTTACAAGGCGAGCTTGCTCGTAAACCATTCAGCCACTGAGACCTAACCCGATCCAATGGCCAGCCCATGAAGTAGCGCGACTACTTCTCAATGTCTCCTCGATGATTTCTTCATCACCTTCAACCTGCTGTACCCTACTGGTAACGACTTTCCATTAGAATCCCAGGTCACTGTCTGAATAGAGCCAGTTGCTAGTGAGCATAAGATAAATTTTAAAGTGCGTACTGCTGTCCAGTACTCCAGTGATGGTTTTCCAATGGTTCTCTAACTAATGTCAGCTCACGATGGAATCCTCCAACTGATAGCTTTATCGAAGTATTATTAAACCAGAATTTACAAAATCTCAGCTTATATATAACAACTTAATCATTGTTCCTCAGCATGGGGTCATTTTTGCGTTGTCAAATTGACCAATTGGTAAAGACTACAAAACCAGGTGTAGATGACTGTTGGATTTGGTAAGCGTATAAAATTATAACAGCAGAGATTAACATTGCACAAACAGCGAGAAATCAAAATCAGAAGAAATAAAAACCGTGGAGCCATATGTATTTGACCACCGAGAAATCCGTGTGAACTAGAAAAGCTTGAAAAATCATCAGCCATAGCCTGTCTACACGCTATGGAATCAGGCCACAAATTTGATTTTGACAATATTGAAATAATCTAGGAAAACTTCAGAAATCACAAAGAACGTCTCAAGTCATCAGAAGCACTTCATATCAAGTGGAATCCGAATTGTCTGAATAGGAGTGATGGACTGAAACAGAATCTGACCTGGTTCCAACACCTCCCTCCCCCTTGAAGTGACGAAGTCAACACGAATGTGATAAGCAATTTCATTATTGCATTAACACATCTTTGGAAATATTCCTTTTGTTGCCAAGACAAATTACTATAAATTTGCGATTTGTACAGCTTGAGAATGATATCGCCGAAAAGAGTAACTCTTTGCTGAACACTTTTTCTTTTCTATGACTGAATGGGAATTTTCAAGCTACTGAAACGTTGCAAGGACCCAGTGACGGTGAAGGAGCTGGACCGTTTCCTGCGTTACTCCGTCAAGCTTGCAGTAGCGAAGGCAGAGATTCAGTTCTTGAGAGAATGTTTAGATCGGCACGAATATCCAAAGATGTACTGGAAGTCCCTCAGACGAAACCACATCCATCCGAATACCAGAACGCTCAGGCGACACACACTAAACAACATTGACTCCATCCAATCACGTATCCCTGAACTAGAACGAAATGTTGACTTACGAGCTCACGCAGTCCACGATTTAGACCAAGAACTACGCCAATCGTTCGAAGAATATGTCGAAGAAGTTGCACAGAAACAATGTGAGAATGCCAAGTCAAACCTTATTAAAAGCCTGAAGCCGACGAGTGACCCTGAACGTCCATTCCCAAGCAATCCAGAAAAATACGTATTTAACCTGTCAAACATTGAGCTGTCAGAACTTCAACTAGAAGCACTGTCCCTCGGTCCAAAGTTCTGCACAAAACCATCAAAAATCCAAAAACTTCAATCCCAAGTCCAGTTCGAAAACCTGATAAACCAAACATATGATCTATCACCAACTTCCGAAGAGAACCTGCAACAGTTCAGGTCGGTAGTACTCGACAGTTGCCATAAATTTATGAATACCAAACCAAATGGAAAGTCAATACTGACCAAAAAACACTATAAAGAGCTCAAGGAATTAATAAACAACAAAGAGATTATTCTGTTACGCCCGGATAAAGGGGGGGGAATCGTAGTCATGAATCGTGAAGACTACGTAAGTAAAATGCTGACCATCCTATCCGACGAATCTAAATTCATAAAACCAGCAAAGGAAAAGAACATGACGGAACAAACTGAACAAAAACTAACGAACCTTCTCCGAAAACTAAAGACTGAATCATTCATCGATCTCGAAACCTTCGAATCGTTGAAACCGTCGGGCTCAAATATACCCCGGCTATATGGACTACCAAAAGTGCACAAGAAAAACGTACCTCTTCGACCCATTCTCGATATGACTAATTCACCTTATCACAGTACCGCACAATGGCTAGTAAACATACTAGAACCAGTCAGAAAGCAAATCTCCCGCCACTCACTTCGAGACTCCTTCGATTTTGTCAATTCCATTGAAAACGTCAGCGTTTCCAATCAAACCATGTTCTCACTAGATGTGGTATCACTGTTTACAAACGTCCCACTAACCGAAACAATATGCTATATATGTGAATATATTGATTCAAAGGAGATGAACATTGGTATCCCCACTGACTATTTGAAGGAACTCCTATTAAGATGTACTCTAAACGTCCAATTCACTTTCAATAATGAAATATATAGACAAAAAGATGGTATAGCTATGGGCTCACCACTCGGCCCGCTGCTTGCAGATATTTTCATGTCAAAACTAGAAAATACACACCTAAAGAAGATAATAGATAACTTCGGATTCTACAAGAGATACGTGGACGATACTTTTATTATCGCCAATAATGAGGAAAATTTGGAGAACATATTGGACTTCTTCAACAGTTGCCATCCAGCAATCCAGTTCACACTAGAGAAGGAGTCCAACGCAACAATATCTTTTCTGGACGTGCAACTAGCAAGACGCGAACAAGATGGGACACTCAAAAGATCCATTCACAGAAAACCGACATGGAATGGACAACTCATCAGCTTTCACAGTTGGGTGCCTATATATACAAAACGAAATCTGATCCGCTCACTGACTCACAGAATCCACAACATTTGCAGTCCGGAAACTATAGAAGAAGAGCTGAAGACCCTGAAAAGAATCCTTCTTGAAAACGGTTACCCGGAACGTTTCATCACAAAAGCTATGAAGCCCAAAACACAAAAACCATCCATGCTTACTGCTCCCAAGAAACTTCTCTATTTGAATCTACAATTCAACGGAGATTCTTCAGCAGAAATACTGAGAAACCGCCTGTGCCGTTCACTGAAGAAAACCTTCTTCGCAGCGGAACTCAGACTAACTTTCTCTACGAAACCAATGATTCGCACGAACGTGAAGGATAAGCTTCCACTGGGGGCCTCATCAATGTGCATCTACCAATTCACCTGCTCATGTGGAGCTAGGTATGTCGGCCGTACCCAGCGTTTGCTATCCAAACGAATCAGCGAACACTTACCTTCATGGTTTTATAAAGGAGAAAGAAGATCCCCCCGCCACAGCTCTATCCTAGAACACTTGATCGAATCCGGACACCAAGCAAACCCACAAAACAACTTCTCAGTTATCTACACAATACGTGGGAATCTTGCCAAAAGAGTACGAATTAAACTTCTTCAAACTGCAGAAGCAATGGCAATTCACATATTGAATCCTGAACTCTGCATACAAAAGAAGTTTGTTCAGTCACTAAATCTACAATGGTCCTGATCTATCTTAACACCAAATACGTAATTTTGTCTTACCTCTTTCTTCTTTGTTTGTCTATTTCTTAATTGCATTATTTTCTACCCCCACCCTCTATTAAATCTCTACGCTCATGACGACTGTTGCTAACTCGATTTTCGTTTATTTTTAAGTGAATTCTACTCAGCTTATTAACTTAACTCTCATTCATTTTTTCATTGAACCCTATCAATTAGATTACGTCACCCAACCTACTTTTGTAACTTTATTTTAGTTTCTAACCGATTAACGCCTTCAAAATTACGTAATTTGTTTGTCAAAAACTAACAATTGCATTAACACATCTTTGGAAATATTCCTTTTGTTGCCAAGACAAATTACTATAAATTTGCGATTTGTACAGCTTGAGAATGATATCGCCGAAAAGAGTAACTCTTTGCTGAACACTTTTTCTTTTCTATGACTGAATGGGAATTTTCAAGCTACAATTTCATTATGTAAATACACACTATTTTTATAATTTTACACACTGATCGAATCCAACAATATACACTTGATTTTGTTACCTTTGCCAATTGGCCAACTTGACAATACAAAAATGACCTCATGCTGCGGAACGATGGTTAAGTAGTTATATATAAGCTGAGATTTTTTAAATTCTGGTTTAATATTATTTTACTTTGATAAAGCTATTAGCAGCAGCATTAAGTAGCGAAACGTCAGTAAAAGCGACAATATCGTTTTGTTTTTCATTCATTAGGGAATACAGAAGGAACTTTTATATTAATACTGAAGCCCACTTACTAAAACGTTAGCTCATCAAATTCATATTCAGTATTTTCTTGAGAGTGTAAAAGTGTCGCATAGTTATTTATCTGGAAAAGTTTGCTAATCAGAGGCTCGGCTTGCGTACCAAATAAAACTGTCGGGAGATCCACAGTTAAGCTGCAAAAGTTGACCACCACAACAAAAAATATCCAACTTATCAAGAAGTAATAAGCAGTGTAGATTTAGTGCAAAAAATACTTTGGTGTGTTCAGACTTATAGTAGTGATTATCAGCGCAAACACGACATCTAGGTGTAGGGCAGCTTGGTGATTGTTATTCATCATTCAACATTGGACACACTTTTTTTAAATAAAACGCTCTGGTGAAGATTGGTTAACTTCATATTCCTTGTACTAGTGAGCTGAAAAAGTAACTTGAAAGTGAAAAAGCAGTGAGCTTCACAGTTTATTTTGATGATATTAGATGGTTGGAAGCAGTAAGCAGGAAGTCTTGCTTGACCTTGGTTTCGTGCTAGCTGCCAGTCACCGATCATCAGGGCATGTCTGCTACCCTTCTGAGATTTGAACCCACGATACCCAGTGCTGCCAGCAATCACAGACGTTACCACTAGACAATGCCACATTACAAACCTGACTGATAGAATTGAGTCCGCACCAAATCAAGGACTAGACACATCACACTAGTTACCAGTGTCCAATCAAAGCATATAATTTATTTTGCAGGGAATAATTTCATGAAGCATCACCATGGAAACGATCGGTGTATTTATGCATCGTTTAGCGATTTGAGATGTTTAAATGAAAAGGTTCCGGTCACATTCGGAGTTACTGGCTAACAACAACTTTCCGTTGTTTCAATTGTCATTAGTAATTTCACCAACGACTGGTGCACTTTATTCATGTTTAGTTTAAAAGTGTCCTACTCACCTTAGAGTCACATGAAATGCTGGACTTGGATTGTGTTTGAGCATAGTGAACTGAGCCACATCTGGATCAGGACGCGTGACTGGAACTCCATTTATCATAAGTCTGAGAATAGAAAAACAAAGGTTACAAATATTGATTACAAAGTATAAACGATTGTACAGCTTGACAATGAATGCGTTGAAAAGAGTCTCTTAACTGAATAACTTGTTTTGATTTTCTATGTGTTACAATGGGAATTTGCCATGAATTACAACAAAGTATTCCACAAATAATTTCCACTTTGGTTACCTATCAGCACAGCTTTTTGAGTATTTTCAAACTCACGCTTTTTATATGATCACTGGATACCGAAAGATCATTCAGCTAATTGCTTCAGGGAATACTTGAAATATTTGTTGAATGTAGTGTCAACTTCATTAGTGTGTTCAATTTGCTGAAGATAGTTAACACAATCCATTTCTGTTCTACTGGTTTCCAGGTAAATAAATGAAAACCATTTACAAAATAAATTGTATGAACTGTAACAGACTTTAATAATAATAATAATAATAATAATAATAATTTACTTTATTCCAAAAACAGTACTTGTGATACAGGATGGAATTTTCAGCCATTAATCACAATATTGCATTTAATTTCCTCAAATTATAAATAAAAATTAATCACACAGAATATTTTCCACATTTACAATAGGGGTGGGTAATGTCAAAAACACGCAGCATATAAAATGGAAATAATAATAATAATGATAATAGCTAGGGTAATAATGATAATACAAGTGAAATTTGCCATGGGCTTGTTACACACAGTATTGTCGATTCGGTATAGAAATCCTAGCATGTTTAAAAATATTGAATATAATGTTCTCTTCCATGATATGGTGAGGGGAAAAACAAAGATTACAGCATTCATAGAGATAGGTTGGTGCTTGCATCGGTCAAAGTGGACGTCCCCCTGGAATCACAATCCAGAAACACAAATCTGCCGTGAAAAGACATGATATATATTCCTGTTTCATATCAATGCACATAGACAACTATGGACATCAGTTTGATTGGAGTAATGTCGAAATTTTAAACAGAGGAAACACCAGACAGTAATGCCAAAGAATTCCTAGAAGCCTGGTACTCAAACAAGTATGTTATTAACAAATATATTAATATAGACCAAATATACCAACTAATAAAAAGTAAATCATGTGACGAGAAGGTTTACAATCGAAGTCAATAAAAATGATCAATACATATGTAAAGATGGTTACCAGGAGACGAAATGATATCAGTCATGTAAAGTGTAAATCAGTTCACTTTATGCTAAAAGCTTGCCCTGAAAGGGGATGTTGTCCAGAAGGAGAACGACGAAAGCTCTGCAACTAAACCAACCAGCTCAGAGAACACTACTAATTGCAAATCATCCACCTGAGCTACAAATCTTCTTTATTCTTTCAGAAACTAGTATTCTTTTGAAGATAAAGTTAAGACATCAGCAAAATGAAGTCGTTATGCAAAGAGAACTTCCAGTCTTTTCGAAATTATTTGACCGTTTACTTTGATAGCAATAATTCCAGCCTCAAGCAAAGCTTCATATCATGACTCAAAACGTATTCAAGCCACCACCCCAGCTATATTTCGTAAAAACATAAAACGTCCACACACATGTATGCAAAGCTAAAATCTCATATGAATGAAGACAACGAAATGAATCTTTATTCATTGAAGTACTTACCTTTCATACATATCATCATCTTCAGCACCCCAACCCCAAAAAAGGTTAGAGTATCCATTGACTCGAAGAAATATCTTCAATGGGATTGATAAGACACCACCGATTAATTCAATATAAGGTAATCTTTATGAGGTAAGAAAAAAACATCAGCACTGACATTCATTAGTAGTGACAGCTTTTGTATGTGTCAGTTAAAGAATAGAATGGTTACAGGACTTCATCATAAGCTGACATCAATTAGAGAACCATTGGAGTACTGGACAGTTGTTTCCGTTGTCCTACTTTTGAACTCTTTATCAGTACGTACCCAACTCAAGGTCCGAACCCACGACTTTCTGGTTACAAGGTGAGTTAGCTCGTAGACCATTAAGCCACTGGGACCCTATAGGTGCGTACTGATGAAGAGTCCCAAATATATATGTATATATATATACGTGACCCTGCCTCACGGTGACCATGTATGATCCTTCCCATTTTGGAAGTAGTTTGCATAACCGTGGCTTTTATTCGCTGGTTTTTCGCCTCACACTACCATATGCTGCCTTCGCCCGACATCCCAGCACCGTTCTAAGTAATAGCCTCATCGCCGACAGAACTTGAGCGCCACTCAACTGCGCAAAAGCCTCAACGTCCTGCCAGAGGATACATATGTCTCCTTCAAAAAAAACTTCAGGGCAACGACTTTCCATTTGTCGGCAGGAAGCGACACCAAATGTAACTGGGATAGGCAAGACATGGAAGCCAAAGTATATTTTCAAGTGATTAAACCGCTATTTATACGGATACAGTTTTATGTTTTCAAACCAATCACTGAGCGGTGATTTCGAACTACATTAAACGCCATGAAATAAAATGTTCAAATACATAGTATTATCTTGCTAACGAAGTACTGAACTGTGAAAATAATATTCCGTTCGAGCATATTGTCTGTATCTAACCATACACTTGCTCGGAGCAAAAATAGTAAAATACAAATGAAATTATATAAAATTGGAATACCCAGCAGAAGTTATTGTATTACCTGTTTTGAAATTTATCCACACACAGACTTATATGTCTAGGATAAATTGAACAGGTGTACGGAATTTCATTGTTCAATGGTAGGAGGTCAACGTCATGAAATATTGCACAGTGGAATGGTATCCAGTTCAATGCTTCAACAAATCCAGCGTTCATTATAATGCCTTTGTTAAACGGTTGTTGATCAGCCTTCAGTGAAAGATTAATATAACCACAAACAACAAAAAATAAAAAGAAAAGAAGCACTTTTGTGTGTTTCTATCTTAATAAATAATAGGGCCATAGAGTTATTGATCGAATTAGAAATCCGGTAGAAATATTATCTGACAAGGAAATGTAATCACACTCTCTAAAAGTTTAATGCAGTGCAAAGGTTACATCAGGGTGAAGTGAAAGATAATCTACTCTAATGGAGTGTATTTTAACAGTGAATTATCTCAATGACTTTGCATAATATTTTTCTGCGACTAGGGGTAAAACATTTTATGGAGAGGCGTATTTATTTCATGGGATATGTCCTTCCAATGTACACCCTCCTAAATAGTTTACTGCAGAGGTTTAAAATTATAGTAGCCACCAGCAATAGTCCCATTGAAGGACCTTCAAAATGAACCTGATGCAAATCATTCACACTGAAACGGTAAGAGACAAAGACTTAGTACAGGAATTATTTAATTCAATTTTAGATTTCCCCGTCGATTGATTGACATGTCGGCTTACTCAGCAGATGCTTCTAAGATCTCTGGGCATTTAACTAGAGGTTAATTGGTGGATGGTGACTAGTAGTGGAATCCGGAATGCGTAAATCGTCCTTTTTGGGACTCGTCCCTAGATGTACCTGCATTCCACGATGAGTGATGATGTTCCCACCGAGGCTCTAATGGGTAAAGAAATGTTTATTTGGAAATTGGTATCTCTGTACAGCCAAATTGTGTATACCTTATCTATCTTAACGCACCGTTTGCAAAAATCTTCGTGTTGTGGAAATTCTGGACATCATACTGTGTTTCTTTGTGTTCCTTTCACGTCCACCATGTATCTCTACAAGGATGTATTATAGGCCTTCTCTGAAATCAAGTGTATCTCCCTGCTATTTACTGTTTTTATATGCCAATGAACGTCTCTGTATTATACTACTGATAAATCCCATTAGTAGCACTCACCATGACATCATCATGATTGCTGTGCGTGTATTGTGAACATAGTTCGCTTTTCATCTGGTTTCCTGGATTTCGTCTAGATATTTGATTATCTATTATGGTTAACTAGGGAGATTTATTAGATTACTTAAGGAGGAACAAGGCTATATGTGTATGTGGGAATACACTGAGTTAACTAATTTACCAGCCTTAACGTCGGCTTTTGCGCTGACAGTTTGTTAGAGATTATCTTGAAGTTAGTCGGTAGTGGATGTTATAGTTTGAATTCCATAATTTACAGAGTTGGTTCATTTATTCAAAGGAAAATCCGATCAAATAATCGGTAAAAAGGACAGATCAGAGCAGATAAGAAGTACAAACGGATAATATATGTATATATTACTCATTAAAATACCCATGTTTCGAAAGTATTCACCAGCCATTTCCTCTGTTATTATCTCGACCTAAGTCCCAGGAATTTGTTATTCAATGCTTTAGATTTCAATCTTAATAAACAACAAATTGACTATTGTCAAAAACAAATCACTCACCTGCTCAGCAACAACTAATAGGTAACAAATGTCTTGTTTTGTAAGCAGTTCAGCTAAGCGTGGAATTAATTCCATTAAATGTTCCGAACGATTTCGATACGGTATAATGATTACATTTCGCCGGCTTTCTGGTTTGTCGCGAGTTAAACAGCCTTTTCGACACGCTTCATTCTGGAACAGACGATGAGTGCCGTCAAAAACTAGTAAGCGATTGGAAGTTAGACGGAAAAAACGGTGATATGGTTAACGTTCGAAGATAATTATTTATTTTTATGGCACTACAGTACAAAGAAGACTTAATATTATAACACTTAATTGAAGCATAGTACTGCATAGTATCTCGTTAGTGTTAGTCTGTGGAATTCAAGCTACGCATGAGTGTATGATTTTATATATTTAGATGAAACAATTATTCGCTTTTAGAAGAAGACAGAGATTATCTGAAAAATATGATGCGAAATACATTTCGAACAATCTGTTCCCTTATACATTGACTTGTCAAGTCAATTTATATGAAAAAAATATTAAAGAGCAGTTAATACACATAAAGTGAAAAAAGGATTAAGGAATAATACGGAACAGTTAAGCCACCTTCAGCTATCCAATCAGATAAGAATTACCAAAGTATGTGGATTAAGAGTAATTATAAATTTTCAAGTATTGGTTTGTAGGGATTTGATTGATTCTTTACAGGATTTCATCATGAGCTGGCATGGGTTAGAGAACAATGGCTGCGTACTGGGGAAGAATCCCAAACTAGGAAGAAATCGCTGTGTAGTACTCCCAGGTGGTTTTCCAGTGTTTCTCTAACCGATGTCATCTCATGGTGAAACCCTGTAACTGGTAATAAATTGTTTTTGGACACGCCGGGTGAGGGCGTGGGAGTGGCTTATATTTATGTATTGCAACTTTCATTCATTCTCAATGGTCAACTTCAAATAATGTATGTTTTTCTTACTCTAATGACTTTATTGATTGTATAACGGTCAAATGCCGCCCGAAACACTTATCCAAGTTTAAATACGTCTTCATCTCTAACATTTATGTTACTCCTGGCTGTTCTGCATCTGATCTATCTGATTTTGCTGATGAATTCACTGAATTCGCCGTTACACATCTTGAAAACTCTTTATCAGTTGTCACAGGAGATTTTAACTGCTGTGATTGTTCTTTCCTCGTATCATTAGGTCATGCCAATATTGTTAAATTCCCTACTCGACTTGATAAAACTCTTGACCTAGTGTTCATTAATGATGAGGAAATATATGAAGTACGCCGACGTGCTCCTATCATGAACTCAGATCATTCGGATATTACCTAAGATATACAGCAGATCTCACTTTAATATCTTCTCAAATCTGTCCAAGAAAACACAGCAAAGGTGTTACTCACAAGAAAATATGCTCAAACTAAGATGTATGCTAAATGACACTAACTGGGAACTTTTCAACGAACACAAACTGGATGATACTATTTCCAATTTGACTGACTATCTTAAATTCTGTCTTGATATATGCTGTCCAAAACAGATAATTTTCAAAAGAATGGATCGTTTTTCTTCCCCTCATCTCAAAAAACTTCGTAGAGAAAAAGAGAAGCTGTACAAGACAAAGAATAAATCTGGTCTTAAGAAGATAAACACCCAAATTAAATCTGAAATCAAGAGACTAAACAACATTTATAATCAAACAATACTATCTTGTAAAACCTCAGAAAACATATGGAAGCTTTTTAGAGAAATTACTGGTTGTGGTAAGCATAATAATTTTGCCTCTTCTATTGATGTAAATACTCTCAATAGATCTTTCATCCGCCCTCCAAATGTCCTTTCTGCCTTCAATTTAACTAATAACACGACCAGTGACTTTCATCGTTTCAATACTTCTGATGTTCTTAAATGTTTGAAATCTCTTAAACCTTCCCAGAGTCTAGGCCCTGATGGTATACCTGCCATTGTTTTAAAGAAATGTGCTGATATTTTAAGTAACCCACTTACAAGCATTTTCAATACTTCTTTTTCTAATAATTTGTACCTTCTCTGTGGAAAGATATTAAAATCATCCCTGTACCCAAGTCTGGTTCTGGAGATAGTGTTAAGTTTAGACCAATTGCCATTACCTCTCCTTTTTTGAAACTGATGGAGAAATTACTGTTACAAAAACTCATTCCCTCCCTAAGCTTCTCAAACGATCCAAAGCAGTTTGCTTACAAACAGGGTAGAAGTACTTTGGATGCTGCTGCTGTGTTTCATCACAACATTGTATCCTCCTTAGACAAAGGGGCCAAGTATGTCCGTTGTACTTTCCTTGATTACACATCTGCTTTTGACTCTGTACCTAGAGGCCTTTTGTTAAACAAGCTTAGCCTTACACAAACTGAGTCCTGGGCTATCAACTGGCTGCACTCTTACTTCTCCAATAGGATGCAGTACACGGTATATAATGGTGTAGCTTCCTCTCCTTTGCTTACTGAAGCTGGTGTTCCTCAGGGTGCTGTTCTCTCGCCGTTTCTCTTTTCCTTCTTCTTACATGACTTACCTCTCTCAGACGAAATCAACTTCGTCAAATATGCAGATGACCTGACTGTTTCGCTTCCCGTTAAGTCTCAGTCAGACTGCTTCAAATTAAATAGCTTCCTGTCGGACATCAGTCAGTGGTCTAAACTAAATGGCCTAACGCTGAATCCCTCAAAATGCCAGACTGTCGACTTCTCCTTTAGGCATAAACGAGATCTACAAACACTAGTAAGCACTCATGATGTCTGTAGAATTGAGGGGACTATAATTGAAACAAAGTCTAATGCAAAATACCTCGGATTAGTTATATCTTCCGACCTTACTTGGTCATCTCATATCCAAATGATTTCCAAGAAAGTGTTTCGTCTAACCTACTACATTAAGAAACTCAGACTAACTGGAGTCCCTCAACCTCTGCTTTCACAATTTGTCAACTCTCGTATCCTACCTATTCTACTTTACTGTTCCCCGTTAGTCTTTCCTGGGTTACTGAAAAAGGATTATACCATCCTGAGAAGGATGTTGAAGGTAGTTAGTAGGACTAGCGGTGTAAAACTCAGTCAGCTCGTCACAACATTAGTGGATAAGCATCTGAATACATGTGAGAAATGGTCTAAAACCATACTCTCTGACCCCCAACACCCCCTCTATTCCCAACTCTCTCCTTGCATCTCATCAGGTAGAACCAGAAATCAGTACAAAATAATATATGCTCGTACAACCAAGTATAGGAACTCAACGATACCATATTTGGCCCGTGTTCTAAGTGACAGAGACAATGTTAAGCGTGAAACCTATGACTTGCTTTGTTGTTAATAACATAATTTTGGCCCTTGTTATTTCCCCCTTACACTCTCTTATTTGTACTCTATAGTGAACAACCTTCTTAAACATACTTAGCTGCTTAAAATTATTATCATTGGCTTACTTTTTTTTACTTTATTCTATTCCTTCTTTGTATATCTACTGGGTCCGACTATATTATCACTATGATTATTAAAAATTGTCCCGTCATTAACCATCATGTAACATTAGTTTTGTGGTTGTTCTTTGTTCGGCACTATTTAACTGACAATCTTGTTTGTTATTGCCACTATCACCATCTTAAAAATTTTGTATTATGCATGATTCCTCACACTACCACTACAAACACCGCATTAGTGCTGACAATAAAAAAAAAACCTGAAATGTTTATCTTATGATTGTTTAGTGTTGTTCAATCAAATTAACTGATCATCTTGGCTATAAACATTTTTTAAGAACATCTCATAATTTCTTGTATGATTATAGCTGTTACTGTTCACCACGCATACACATATCGTAGCTTCCACTAACCAATACTGAAATATTTTTTCATTATTTGTGTTTATCTTCCTTTCCACTTGGTATTTTTATTTGCATTTTTTTGGTTATTTCTGTGTTTCTTTTTTGGTTTTTTGTTGTGTTTTTTTATATTTATTTTTTTATAATACTCCTTTTAAATGTACGATGAAATTAGATGCAATATTGTAGATATGTGCTGAAAATTCCACACTGTACCACAAGTACTGTTTCTGGAATAAAAGCGAGGTTGTTATTTATTTTATGCTTAGCTATAGCCTCAGCACATTTCAATAAGTGCACTTGACCATCTTCTGGATGACCTTAAAAGCTATGTTGATATCAATCTTGTGGTTCATGGGGATTATGTTTGAGTATAGACGTTGTTGGTAGTCTGCCACCTGCACCTAACTTTCTGTCTTCTAATAACACTGTCCGTATTCAGATAAACCGAAAAGTTACATCTCCGCCATCGTGTTAGAACTAGGCAAAGATTCACTTCTATGTTGTAAAATGCCTACTGTATAAGAGACGGATGGATAGAAGCACACGACTTAAGGCTAAAATGTGCAGATAAAGAGATTTTATTTTAACCGCATGCTGAAATTTAGTAAGCGTGTAGTTTATTTCGCTCTTAGATGATTTCCACTGATAACAAGCCGTTTGAAATAAAAGAATCTCCTGAAGGAGACAAAACTTTGCAGACAGTGGTTTCCATCGATTAGTCGCCAGTGTGATGCTTCTAGTTTTTCGTGTTGGCTCAGGCTGGATTCTGTCAGTAAAGTTTTTTTTCATTACAGCTTAATGCCACACCGTATTTTTGATACAAATTTAGAATTTTCAGCACGGATATCGGTAGCCCAAATTTTGCAGGCCGACCATAGATATCAGGTGTGAGTCGGCAGGGGATCGAACCTCGGACCATGTGCATGGTCGGCGAGAGTCCTAACCACTGTGCCACCGACGCACAAAAAAATAACAAATATTTAAATGAATTTTAGATTTTTCCATTGATTGATTGGACCGAAGTGCTTGGTCTCAGGTTGACATGTCGGCTTCTTGTGCAGATACTTCGACGATGTCTGGGCATGTAATTAGAAGTTAAGTGGTGGATGGTGACTAGCATTTTGAAACTATAGGTATTGGGTTAGAGCCTAGGTGGAAACATCATCACTCACTGCAGAATTCAGGTACACCCAGTCGATGAGTCCCAAAAAGGACGAAATGTGCGTCCTGGATTCCACTTCTAGTCACCATCCACCAATTAACATTTAACAAACAGTTGTTTTCAGAGTGATCAGATCAGCGAGGTCAGCCACTGATTAGTTTTGTTTATAGCGTAACAATAGGCTCCTTTCATTTTGAGAGTTATTTTCAAAAGTATCGTTGGATTTCCCTCTTTATAGGGTGTTGTGGTGAGGCTCCCACAAGTCATAAGTTATCGTTAGGTCTTTCATTTTAGAGACTTGTTTCGGTCAGATCAGTGTTATGAATACGTAAGTAACCAGTATAGAGTCTAGTTTCGAAATAACTTTCGACATTCATCAGCCAGGGAACTATTGTAAACTGAGGTGCTCTAGACGTGGTGTTGCCTATCCTCAACATTATGAAGGTCTATCTCATGGTCTTTCCCTCTCTTATTATGTATATCACCATTTAAGCTCTTGGCTAAAATTCACTGGCCCAAACTTCCTAATTTTTGCTTACGTGTGATATACATATGATCAGTGCAAATTGTCACTGGTAGACAACTCGACTTGGTGCTTTTCTATTCCTTTAAGTTCCTAGTGCTGGAACATAGGGCCTCAAGCTGAAGATGTGAAGTTCCGGTAGCAGTGGTATTTACTTTTACACGGTGGCGTTTTTGGCCTCAAGGCCAGCCTAACCTTCCCTCTTTACCAGTCATATCTTGGCTTGGTAAGGTAAAGGAGTGAGTCGGTGGCAGGGGATTGAACCCCGAACCACGTGAGGTGTGATTGAGGAGCATTCTGTTGCTGTGTCACCGACTTGATCCTACCAGTCATGATTTCTTATCAGCACCTAGAGGCTCATACACCACTAATGGCTCGACTAGTTCAACTTAGTACATCAACAGTGTAAAAAAAATATAAGTATGATCACTTGTCATCATGGATACCAGGCACCTTCAAGACAGATGATGATTTAACGTCTAAACAGAATGGTGACAGAAATATTGATTGTTATTAGCCAATTCGTTATCTATAAAATACTTTTTATTATGTATAACCTTTCACCACACCATGAATCTACCTTAGCAATTACTTCGGTTAATAATTCCTGGGAGCATACGTGTTTATTTATACAGCCTGGTGACATTTCTGAAATCCTCGACAACAGTTTATTGTTTGTTAGAAAACAGAAGAATACATTAGTTATATACATATTTTTCTACTAGAGATATCTTAATGATAATTGATCAAAGTAATAATTAAAGCAATAATTTGTAAAAACAAAAATCCTTTCCAACAACCACCTACCTTTTCTACAGAATTCCTTTTCTCGCTTAAACCAAGTGTTCATTACCATCTCACCGACATCTTCAACAGCTGGTATATCTGGTCTTAAAAGCCGAGACAATTCGTTAGTAATGAACCCGGCAAGTTTTGAATCAATTTCTGAAGGAGAATCCATGTTAAATGACTGCCAATGGTATAGTATAATAAAAAGGCACGATAACAACATTAAAATCAAAATTAGGCATACAACAGCTCGAAAACGCCGCATTTCTCCACAGAGAGGGAGGTGAATTGACGCTTTTTAATTATGACTAATACTGGGAAAATATACCTCGACAAAACTGTTTTTTGTACGGTCGATAGTTTTGGCTGTCTATCAAATAGCATTACAGAAGCAAATAATAATCTGATTGGTGGAAATATGTGTGTATTGATTGATTGACTGATATTTGTCCAATCACAGCTGATCTGGTAAAACTTGATATTATCTTAGGTATATTAATAAAAAACAGAAGATTTCTCCAAGGTTTTAAAGGAAAATTCTGTATTTCACATAAGCTTTTCAGGTTTTTTTATCGATTTAGATTAAAATGCCGGTGTAAGACTTTGAAAAGCTTGAAAAATACCGTGGTAAGGTAGTGTGTAAGACGACTCAGTAAAGTATCCTGACTTTATAGAAGAGAAATGCTGCACACCAGTTATGTTTCTTTCTAACCAAAGTTTAGACTGGTCTTGAATACTCTCAGGAGCTTAAAAGGTTTCACAGTTTCAGAGGAAATATAAATAAGTGAATGAAATATTTTTTACTGCTATCATCGTACATATTTTAATTTCCCAATCTCATTTGTCTCTTACCATTATTATTAATCTCCTGAGTTCCGAATGGAACACAAGGCTTCAACAACACATTTCCGCTCTGTTCTATTCTCTGCTGTGGCCTGCGTTCCGCGCGATGTCATTTGACGGCGTGTTAAGTATGTGCCTGTTGCACCTGTTTTCCCCTATATATTTGTTGAGCAATCGGATTTCGGTTGGTTAATTTGTTCCCAGACAGCCAGCCAGCGAGAGTTTCTTCTTGCCAATTCTTTCTCACCAGCCAGTCAGCCGACTGGCTATTAGATCTTCATTATTCAGCCAGACATTGAAGAAGATGGGCAGCTGTTGATAAAAGTCTGAAACCTGTTGGAAATAATCCTCGTGATACGCTAGCCATGTTTCTGACTCATATAGAAGAATTGATCGACTGACTGACTTCTTCACTGAAATTTGTGTTGAACACATTCCGAATCTCGTTGTTTGTGTTGAAGCTGAGGCGGAATGAGGAAAATTTCCAAACTGGTTTCAGATTGATGAAGGTGTGTGTGTCTCGCCTTTCTGATTCTGACTGGCTGGCTGTCTGGCTTTGACATCTTCATCTCTCCTGCTGGCTGTGATTGAAATCGTGCTTCCCAGACGCATAAGTGAAGGAAGCGACCTCTTTCAAATCTCCTTCATTGAAAGAGACTGGTTGGTGGTCGTTGTTGCTTTTGGTTAGTTGGTTGTCTTCATCACCTTCGTCTTCTCTCTCTTCCCTAGACCTCCTGTCTTCGCTGCTAGCCAGCCTCCTCTGCATCCAGTTTATTGCTTTTTGCCTGCAATTCTCCGAGTTTATGTGACATTAAACATGAATCATCCACACAATAAATCCAGATCTTCTACAGTCTTCTTATTGGTCAGTGCAGAGTATTCCTGTCATCTTGCTGCCCACTCACAGTCTGACGCATAACTCAGTCCACCACAATAAGAAATATCGTCATTGGTGGTAACAGGCAGATAGCCTTGTCTTACTCCTGTATTCACCACAAATGCTTCTCTGAGTTTTCCATTGTGGATCACTTGATATGTGCCACTGTTATATGGCTGTAGTTGAGTGAGGTTGATAAAGATTTAGGCACTGCACGCCTTTGTGTTGAAGTAATTTTTTCAAATGGTTTCGTGGTCAACACTGCCGAAGTCCTTTTCGAAGTCGATGAAGTTGAAATAGGGAGAGGTTTGGCTTCCTACCTATGTTTTGTTCCATGACTATCCGTAAAGTTACAATTTGATCACCATATAATTTGCCTTTCCTGAATTCGGCTTTTTCCAGGTTGGCACAGTTCTACATCCAGTGCATCTTTTATCCTCTCCAGGATGACGCGACTTAGTACTTTACTCGGTGTAGACAAGAGCATTATTGTAAGCGTAATTCTTGCAGAATGAGGCGTAAGTCGCCCTTTTTTGGCAGCTTTACAAGGTCACCAACCATTCTTTCAATTAGCAGGCACCTTTTCTTCCTTCCGTCTACACTAGTCAGAAGGACTGAGTTTAAGAAGCACAGTCATAGTGTTAGGGGGAGGTTGGTTGACACTGAATCAAAAACACAGAGCGGTGTTCTGAACGCTTCTTCTTTCGAATGTAGTAACGAATAAAAGTTCATATGAAGTCCTGTCTAAAGGCCGAGTCTATGAAGTTCACGTGTCAGTAAAATGTATAACGAGATCATAGGAAACATCCACTTTTTCGATATTGAAAACAGTAAGACATTCTTCTGAGTACGTCTCACTCTGTGGCTTCTTTCCTTCCTTAGGCTTCTCGACCTTGAAGTTTCTGGCTGTCAGTGACTCTTTAATGGTAGCATTTAATACAGTTCTACAATAGGTCAGTCACAAGCCTAAATAGCTCATTAGTAACATCTCTGACTGATGGTAGCACTGGGTGACATTGGTTCGAATCTCAATACACCAGGACATGAGTTCCTTGAAGATTGCAGATACGCTTTGGTGGTTAGTGTCAAGAAGCATGCAACCTAGGTGAGGCTGTGCTTCCTGTGGTCGACTGCCTCCAACCCTTTAATAACTACAGTGATAGATCAAACTAATGGCGTTGTGGTTTATCGGCATTGTAGTTGTCCTCATTGGCCAATTTTAGGGATACATATTAAATTCAGGAAAACGCATTTAAGCCAAAGAAAAGTGTTTTCTAATTAGATCTCATCAGGCTTAATTCTAAAATATACACAACTTCACAAATAAACAATGAATATAAACCAGTTATACTGATTTATCAAAAGGATGATAAGATTGTGCACATGTACGTTAGTTATAATAATAATAATAATAATAATAATAATAATAATAATAATAATAATAATTCTGTTTTTAACACATAAAAAGTGAAGCGGTTTGAGATGACAAGGATAACGAAAAGTGACCTGTGTAGATAAACAAATTCTCCGGTAGACGTAGTAGTTGACGTTTAAGAAAAACAAGTGGTTCGATTAATTAATACTGTGGTGAGTGCTACTTATAATCAGATATCAGTAGTATGTCAGTGTAAAGGGATTCAGAAAAGTAACAATTTGTTTCGGGGCTCTGGGAAAAGCAGTTGAAGAAAAAAACTGTGAGAAGAATGTTACAGAATTCAACAAGCTATCGAATGTGGTGATATTCAACCGATTTTCTAAGTTATGTGGAAATAAAGACTTAAGGATAAGGTATGCGAAATTTATGTACCTACAATGCGTGTGTCCTAATAAATATTACTGTCGAGCATCATCGGTTTATTCATCTTGACAATACGGTGTTGTAAGTGAAGTAAACGGACTATGTTTTAAAGTGAAATAAGACTAAAGCACTTAGTTCCCTTTATGAATTTAGACAAAGCAATAAGAAGACTTAATTTTGTAACAACAGAAGGCAAGACATGGAAGCCAAAGTATATTTTTTTATTAATCAAACAGCTGTTCATATAACTACAGTTTATATTCGTCAGCCAATCACTGAGCTTGGAACTTAGGTTTGGGTCAAACAACATGAAATAGAATGTTCAAATATACATAGAATTCTCTTGTTGATGTAGTATATAAGCGTGGGAAAGTATACTGACGCTTACACCAAACAGAATGTTCAAATAGATATATCGCATTCCGTTGCTAATACAATATTGAACCATGGGAATATATGAGATTAATATTCCGCTGAAACACATTATCTTTACCACACCACCACAGTTTGTCGCAATCGTGTAATGTATTTGCGAAACACACGCCTTATCACCAACTATCAACGACCTCCATCTCTACAAGAGATACATCGATGATACTTTCATTATTTGTGATGAGAACTGTGATTTAAAAAACCTACTTCAAATCTTCAATAATGCCCACCCAAACATCGACTTCACACTTGAGACTGAATCCGACGGAATGTTCCACTTCCTCGACGTCCATCTGACAAGAAACGCCGACAACTCCCTGAAAAGGTCCATATACAAAAAGCCTACATGGAATGGACAATTCATCAACTTTCAAAGCTTCGTGCCCCTGAGCAGAAAGAGGAACCTGATATACGCTCTTTCCTCGAGGATTCGGAAGATATGCAGCGAGGAAGTGGTTGAAGAAGAACTGCGTAATCTTCGAAAAACCCTGATGGAAAACGGTTTCCCGCCCAGGTTCATAGAAAAGAATCTCAAACCTAAGAAGACTTCTGAACAAGTCCAATCCGTCCCAAAGAAAATGCTTCTGCTTAATCTAGAATTCAAAGGTGATATTGAAGCAGAAATCCTTCGCAGACGCCTCTCAAAATCGCTGAGGAAAACATACTTCGCCGCTAGCCTACGACTGACGTTTTCCTGCAAGAAACTGTTCAGCCAGAACGCGAAAGACAAGCTGTCGCATTGGGCCACCTCAACGTGCATATACCAGTTTACTTGCTCTTGTGGAGCTGAGTACGTTGGCCGTACCATGCGCCGACTTGAAAAACGCGCTCGTGAACACTATCCAGCCTGGCTAGTAAAAGGAGAACGAAAACGGGTAAATAGTTCGGTGACAGAACACCTGGTGAATTCAGGACATTCAGCGCCACTCGAAAAATCCTTCAAAATCATTTACAAGATTCGATCAAACCTATCAAAGGGAGTAAAATCAAGACATCTGGGCATAGCCGAGGCGCTAGCTATACAAAAGCTCAAACCCACGCTTTGTATACAAAAGAAATACGTCCAACCCCTGTCCTTGCCATGGCCATCATAAACAGGTAATTTTTAGTAATCACCATCCCATCTCCTTTCTTATCTAAACTTCCTGTTTATTCATGTTATTTCAAGTTTTTCTTAATCCCTGTTTACACTACCATATTTTCATACCCGAACTTAGTGTTTATTTTGTCATTTTACTATTTCTACATATTTAATCCCTGATTGCATAAACAATTATTCATCACATTAGTTTTTATCCAAACATCCTGTCTATTTTGTTATTTCTACATTTCTAACCCCTAATTGCACAATGTCAGTCTTCTTAGTTATTATAATGCTACTTTGTTTGTTTTATCCATCCCCCTGTTTATTATGGCATTCTAATTCCCAATTTTAATTTTTATTAATTTGACCCTTGACCGGATATTATTCTGGAACTTTCCCATCCATTTGATATAAATACACGAATGTACAGCCTAGATGATGACTTCGTCGAAAAGAAAATTTTCTTCGCTG